TAACTGCCAGCGTCATCTTATTATAAATAAATAATTAAGAGGTCCTATTAAAATTGTTCAGATATTTTTGAAAAGTTGTATGTTCAGATATTATTGACAGGCATCTGCTCAGATATTATTGAAGTAATGAATGATCAGATATTTATGGTCACTTGTAGTGTATAGAACTTATTGACATTTTAACTGTTCAGATGTATTTGGTCATCTTGTATGCTCAGATATATCTGATGGCGACTGTACACTTTATTATTTTGCTCATTGTAGTCTTCTTCAATCGTGGAAAGTTTTTCATCGCTAAAGAGGATATTTCTGTACTTTCTGTCACCTGCGTATCGCAACAGAAGGCTTTTTGATCGATCCACTCTCTTTAATTGTAAGAATTGATTTACGGCATGTCCTGTATATCGACGATAAGCACCGAGCTTCAGGTCTTGTTTTATAATACGCGCTATACGCGTTAAATAATACGCGACAGAGCCGTAGCGGGAATCTTGATTTCTCGCGATAAGATTTTTTGCTTCCTAATGGGGTTTCGACAAATTCTGGCTTTAACTGCATTAACAGCCTTTGTAGTTCTAACAGCACTCGGCTGACTAGATCTTTTCTGGTCTTCGACAGACGAAGTGTTGTTGTATCTGTTGATAGTACGATATACGAACTTACGGCTGATACCAAGCTTTTGAAGTGTCTGGAATATGACCGACGGCTCCATTTGCAATTGCAAGGCGATCACTACAATCCTATTTTCTTTAACATCCCATTCCATATTGTAATTTGATAATGAACACAAAAAAATGGTGCAAAATCGAAAGAAAGTTATTAAAATAATATACGTGTTCCAAATTCAAAATTATTAAACAGTTGAAAAAAAGACAAGTTTTTATGGTCAGACTAGTTATTGCTTTGTCGAGGATTAAGTCTTCTTTGGTGATGGTCTATCTATGGGTTATGAAACTTTATCAGCGACACAAAACTTTTATGACAATTTGAAATGACGCAGTTCGAGTTTACTGTGGAGTTGTCTTATCTCGTGGCATTCGTAAATAGCTATAATGCTATTTACGAATTCTTCTTAAACTGTATTTCTACATAAACAAAACAATAACATAGGTAATTAGTATTTAGTTCTACTGTATGAGAGACAACGTATGATTGCAATTTAAAGTGAGAGTTGCATCATCTATTTTAGGTCTTAAAGCTTAGTGAAAACTAATATCAATCATCTTTTCTTATGTAACCAGCAATGAAATATTTTTAATTTTAATTGATTGTGTTAAAACTAGTTGGAAAACTTGAAAGACTAAAAGATTGCGAAGTTTTGATGGAATGGACAAAACATAATAATTTATGTATTAGCGTAGTTGTTAGGCGTGAGCCTTATAACTTCGCTACATACTACATATTATTATACTTTAAATTATAATCACGGTCATTCATAAAATCTCAATATCTTTATGTAACCGACGCTAAGCCTATGATAATGCATTATTTATACTATCAAGTGTTAGAAAAGACATTGTACTATATTGGGGAGGCCCGTGGGCGTAGCGCCCGCGCTGCAGAGCAGTAACTTATGGCATGTCGGAACTATACACAAGTAATCGATACGCACTTAGCAGAGTGAAAGCAATACGCTTTTCGTATGTAATGGAAATTATTGCGACCATCACAGGAGATAGCTATATAACGAAAGCAAAAAAGGAGGAGGTTCTCATCTCTACTGTATTTTGTTTTTTTATGTTTGTTACCTAAGAACTTTCGGCGCTGGCTGAACCGATATTGCAGATTATTTTTTATTTGAAATCTGGTAGTTCCTGTGTGGTCCCATTTTATTTTGCTCCAGTTCTGACAATGCCATCCATGAGAAAATCATATAAGTCTTAAATTCGATTCTTTTTATTATATTTTATTTGTTTGGAAGAGTTTGTTAGCGAATTGGTCCCATATACATTTGGGTAAGATCTGATAAATACTATCGGAGATAAGCAACGGAACTCCTTAAATACGAACAGTACACATATGGTGTTTTGTTATTTAATGAAATACGAGAGAGAGATCGCAGGTCAGACATCTATATTTAGTAAATGGATGTTGCTTTGGCTTATAAAAAAATAAAACTAACAAAAAATAAAAACCGACTTCATAAAACAAAACCACTTAAATGTAAGAAATAATACATATTCTTTACTTATCTACATTAAAAGTCAAATTAACATTTGGAGTCGGTGCCATGTATATTGATTGAGTTGCCATTTACTGCTTATGTTGGCACGGCACTGACTCCAAATGTTAATTTGACTTATGTAGATATAAGTTAAGTCTTGAGGCGTTGCAGAGGTGCCAAGTTGATTGGCGATATATCGAGGTGCTGAGATGTCTGTATAACGCCGCTAATATGTCCGTCGTGCTCCAGAATGGCCAGACCGAGCCTGTCCTGCTGCGCCGTGGTGTGAGACAAGGAGATGTAATATCCCCGAAACTCTTCTCCGCTGCGCTGCAGGACGTGTTCGGAACGCTCAACTGGAAAAGGCGCGGAATAAATATTAATGGCGAATACATATCACACCTTCGATTCGCGGACGATATCGTCATCCTGGCTGAAACCCTGCAAGACCTACAGGAGATGGTGAGTAGCCTGGCTGAATCTTCCAAACGCATCGGTCTCCGGATGAACTTGGGTAAAACCAAGGTCATGTTCAACGAACTCGTTGATCCGGGACTGGTTGCTGTTAATGGAGTACCTCTCGAAGTTGTTCAGGAATATGTCTACCTAGGACAAACGCTCCGATTAGGCAGAAACAACTTTGAGAGAGAAGCCAATAGAAGAATTCAGTTGGGCTGGGCAGCATTTCATAAGCTTCGTCAAGTCTTCTCGTCACCCATCCCTCAATGTCTTAAGTCGAAAGTCTTCGACCAGTGCGTCCTCCCAGTTATGACATATGGCGCCGAGACGTGGACACTCACGGCTGGACTGGTCCACCAGTTTAAAGTCGCTCAGAGAGCTATGGAAAGGGCTATGCTCGGAGTATCCCTGAAGGACCGCATCAGAAATGATGTAATCCGACAGAGAACCAGAGTCACCGACATAGCCCACCGAATTAGCAAACTGAAGTGGCAGTGGGCTGGTCACATTAGCCGCAGAACTGACGGCCGATGGAGCCGTAAAGTTCTTGAGTGGAGACCGCGACTCGGTAAACGTAGTGTGGGACGCCCTGAGACAAGATGGGATGATGACATTCGTAGGCTGGCTGGAGTGGGCTGGATGAGAGTGGCAGAAAATCGGGAGCAGTGGCGTGCATTAGGAGAGACCTATGTCCAGCAGTGGACGAGCATGGGTCGATGATGATGATGATGATGATGAGATATAAGTTAAGTTAAACAATATTGTTTCGTATAAAGTGATGGAAGATTCATCAATCACATACACATACGTTTAAGGTTGCTATTATTTATTGAAATAAATCAAATGCTTTCATTAGATACAATATTTTATAAGTATCTATCATATTCGATTATTTCTTTTGTTTCCTTTTGGCCATTAGGTTTGTTTATATTCTGCATCCGTGTCACATTTTGTAGCTTTCTGAAAGTACTTTTTATATATTAGTGTAAAAATATATTTTGTAAATGCTTAGTTTTTTAAATGCCAGAAAAATAGTTTTGCAAATAAAACTCCTTTTAACTTGTTGTGATTATATTTATATTATTACTAAATAACTTAGATTGTCTTACTTCATTATATCAAGTGACATCTTAATGCAACAATTCCACGATCGGTAAATAATATTTACTTAACCTAAACCACAATTTCAATTTAGGTGAATATGTCTCCATCGCGTCAGATCAAATGAACGATCGCCTCTTTCCTTTCACCCACTAATATTTAACTTAGCGATATTGAACTTATATACTGCAAATTTTCCGCCAAGGATATCGGTTTACCAAGGACAATGGAGTTTTGTATTTCCAACTAACAAGCTATGATTAAGAATAATAGTTCAATGTTAACCTTTTAAGTGTAACGTTTTAGATTTTATTTTCCATCGTATTCCAGAATAGTTTTCCAGTAATTAGATAAAATAATATACTTCGAAGTTACGTCGATAAAATAGGTCGCTGCTGACTTATTCATATTTCCGCAGCGCCCTTCTGTCACGGTTTGATCTAATTTATCTTCTAAGCTCAATCCATTAACGGTCCCTCTATGATAAGGACGAGTTGACTGAGGCCTCCGCCCGCGACGGACGCCAGTCTATATTGCTTCGTCCGTAGTGTACTACGGGGGGCGTGCGCCACAATAATAAATAAACAGCTGTGAATACTCGTAAAGTACTGTTAAGTTACAACTATAAGAAAACCCTTAAAACAACTGACGAGTTCCCACAGTGTTAGTGTGTACGGGCACGTATTAGTTGCGAGATTGTCCTCAGTTCATTACACACGATCGAGGCGGTGCGGTAGCGAGTTCAATCGGTATACTGTTTTTTGAAAAAACCAGTTATGATTAATAATGTGTGGTGCGCTCCAATGAATTGCGGACGTTATTTCAAAGGATGTGCTGATACCGACTAAACGCTGCGTGCGATTCTGTTGTAATAATTACGTTTAGACTTCAGTGTACGAGCACGTATTTTTGTGTGGTGATGTTTTGGCAGCGATGTGGGCACGGGAACAACACAAACATCTACTGAATAAAATATTAAGGCCATTGTCATGGACGGAGACGGCGGTGCTTTAACTTAAATATGGAGTGAAAAATAACCAAATTTTATAAAGTATTAGGTTCTTTAGTTGTATGGTTTACTGAAGTTATATACCTATTACAAGCATCATGACTCATTAATCTAAAATTATTCTGCTTTGTGATATTTAAATACGAATTATGACACATTGAGACGATTATTGCATCGAGTTGTTTACATTGTCAGTTGCAAGTTGTGAATCCTTTTAGTTAAATAGTAAGTAGTTGAAGGTAAACGATCGCATGTGTTCAATTGCAGGTGGAAGCGGGAGACGTATTGCTCAAGGTCAATGGGACTGATGTAAACCGGTTCACTACCCGAGAAGGTGAGGAATTCGCAGTTTATCACGGGCTCGCACGTTATCCTCCGCACTCCTCGCTTGCCGCCTTATTTAAGTGGACTGTATGCAGCCGCCTTCCAACTCGACATCCCCTTATTTACTGAACAGCCACTGTGACTTAGCCAGCCATAAAGCTGCTTATTCAGACCACGTTTAGTGCATAACAGTACCAAACTAACAATACATTGAATTGATCAATGTTAAAGACCTGCTTCCCTGGCATGAGCACCGCAATATGATATAAAGTTCGTTTTTATCACGTTCAATTGTCAAATTACTATGAAATTTGACAGGTAGACGCGATAAAAATAATGATATAATGTAAATTGTGGTACTCCTGCTACGGGAACTGAACTGCTGTAAAGTGATAACATACGTTGTTTATTGCCCTCGATGTTCCGCAAGAATTTTTTTCATCATCGATTTTCATTCAAGCACATAAATGCTATATGTTCACTTTATCGAAGTTTCAGATTGACTAGTGTTATGTTATGACGTTATTAGCACTAATTCAATGATCGCGTTACAACCAAGTTGCGCTCAGCACGCAACTTCGCAATTCACATTTCACACGTTCTTTACAAGCCTGGTTACAGCTTCAAAATAACTTAATAACCTCTTTACAAAGCCGATATCAAAATTGATTTCCACCGACATCCCGCAATAAAGATGTTATCAGAACATAAATTGTACAAATGAATTCGCTATTCTTAGACAAGTGTGCTGTTTGTTCTAATGGCTTGTATTTAGGTTTCGATTATGAAGTTAAATACAAAATATCAAATTATCATGACACTTCTATTGGTTGTTGCAGTTTTAAAATGCTTACGACTCTCGGAGGATCCCGTCACTCTAAGACTGAGAAAGGGTGAGTGTCCTATTTTAAACTGGAGTTGTAACACGCAGTTGTGTCGGATGTTTGTCTGAACTATGACATTCGAGAGACGGCAGCGTACTCCGGCAGCGGCAGCGGCTACAAGTAATAAAATTAGTTTATCCCCGAGTGGTTCGAACGAATTCGCGAAGTAAGCCACCACAAATAAGAGTTGCAATACTCAGAGTAATTTCATAGGTGGCTCCCGGGATCCGGCCGGATAACCCTCGCTCACAGTGGCTTTGTTCCTTTAATAATCTAATCTTGCCGCACCTCGAAGAAAATGAGCCGGTCTTGTTTCTCGGACTTTCTTTGTTCGATCTGTTTATTTATTGTTGATACTGATAAGGTGTGATAACGGAGTTATGTCTCAGACCCTCAGATCAAAGCGAGTGTGAGGCGGTACCTATCTGCGGCAGCGGAGCGCCGCTCTAGCGGTCCACGGATCAACCACGATAAGTAAGTCCTGTACTATAGAATAGCCTAAATTTTATGCTGCTTAGTAAAAATTTTGGTGAATTTCAAAACTACGATCTTATTGTTTTTGTCCATAAGCATATTTAACAGCACAGAACTTATGTGTTGACTGTTGACCGCATTAGTTCGTTTCTGAAGATCAATCTAATCTACTTTTATTTCATTATTGGATAAACTCAGTTATCAATAACCAAACGTATGTTATGTCGCACTCCATGTGCTCTCTACATGAACGCCACACCGGGATAAATTAATTTTACGGAGAGTTAAATTTGTAGCTTTACTTAGCACAGCTCCCCATTTTGGTGTCGAATTTAATTTTACCCACTGCATTTCGGGTGGGGGTGTAATCGGAAGGGGCCCCGGCCTGACAGCTGATTTCCGTCGGTGATAACGGATTAAGAGACCATATGTGTCGTATCGACGCCGCCCTGCCGTCTGATTCACTTACAACACGCGACAGTAATATTGACAACGAACTGTTATGCTTATGCAACAGACAACATTATGTACATAATATACAATCATTTATTGAATGTTTTGATATTATCCAAACTACTTCGGTTGAGTAAATGACTAATTCTGTCAATATAACTTTTTTCAGTGTTTCAACAACTTTTAAACATGTTGTACAAGCTTAATATATAAAGTTATAATATAATAATACATACAGCATCTTCTGTTGAAAGCTTATATCATATATACACGGGAAAATTTAAAACACAACTTACTTCAGAATAATGTTTAGTAGGTAGGTACAATGACTTCCATACTGATTTTATTGTTTTTAATCCTAGTAACATAGCTCTCTTCTCCTCTCCTTTTTCATACATAGGACATAATGTTAGATACTTTTTTTTTACTATTTAAATTCCGCAAAAAATGAATTCATTCTATTGTCTATCTGTGTTAATATGAGTGAAAATGGTCGTAGGTTTGGCCTATTTTATAAATTTAGCTAACTGTAAATATTTTTTTGATATGATTAATAACATGCCTTTGTTATTAATCATATCAAAAAAATATTTCGGCCCAATTTTGTATAATTGGCTATGGCTAATCCAGACTAGGGTTGCCTTCTCCTCTATAAAATGTCCAACCTATTTAGAGACTCAAAAATTGTATTATAAAGTTATTTTGCAAGTTTTAATGTTCGCATTTCACTTTTGAAAACGCCATTGTTTTTATAAAAATAATTATATTATTTTGGAAATATCAATGTTGCAAGTTACAACAAATAACTTACGATGCTTAAATAAGTATCTTAAAAAAATCTATGAAAGAAGAAACTGACGGACATTTTAACACAGCCTAAACTGATGGGTCTAGAGACTACAAATTTGGCACGTAAGAAAAATTTTGGTTTCTGAGGAATTCTCAAAAAATTCAAGTTAACGCGGACGAAGTCGCTTGCGACCGTTAGTATTATATAATGATCTAGGAATATATAATCGCCAACCGTTTTTTTTAAGTCATGTACTATACCTACATGGTATATTATACAATATCAGTGTAAGTAAACATAACATTAGAATAATTATATTATGTTTACATCAATTATTGTGGTCTGAAAAACATACATTTAGAGACAACGATTTCCGAGATTCTCAAAGGTCCCTACTGGAAGTTATGTAATTTAAGAAATGTAGATTCCCCATTTATTGGATTTTCATCAAGTGAGACATAATAAATGTCGAAACATGTTGCTGTCCGAACAAATCTCTGAATACAGAAGAAACCAGAAGGATCTACAGCCGATAATGTGTGCCGCTCACAGTGACCAAAAACAATTCGCATCCTCATTTCTCATTTTTTCCACCCGTAAAGTGTTGCTGGCTTAGTTCGCTTATTGTAGTGCAAATTAAAATTCATGTTTAAAAATAATGCGTAGTGGTTGATGAAATCACACCCGATATTTTTATATCTAAAAGATGACCCTTTTGACAAATAATATGTAATTTTTTTCTGGTTTTAAAATAAATGATTTTGTTTTTTATTTTGTATACTTTCTGAGATTATTAAACTTAACTGCACACGCTCTATCAAGAGATTACAATCGGAACCGATAGTAAGTTTAAACTTTTAAGTACGTTATCGGTTATAATATATCAACCTTGGCTCAAATACGGTGCACTATTATGAATTACGTAAACAAACATACAAAATTCATGTTGTACTTGTACTAACATTCTGATATGTGAGTGTGAATAATCTAAACCTAATCTTTCGAAAGACACGCGTAAATCTTAACAATTTGATGTTAATAATAGTAGTCAGTACTACTCATATCAGTTTCTAATCGTGAATTTGTGTAGTAATTCATTGCAACATTTATATATGAATAAAAGTACTCTCTGTTTGAATATTAGTCCGAGTTCACCGTTGTCGAGCAACTCTACTAGCAACTCGTCCAGCAACTCGTCGAGCAACGGGTCGGGTCCACAATCGGGCGACAGTTGCGAGGCGCTTCTGGAGGGCGTGCGGCGTTCCCAGCCCAAGTTTGAGGCGTACATGATGACCGGCGACCTCATCCTCAATCTGTCGCGCGTCGAACATCCACATCATAACCTCCGTGCGCCCGCGCACCGGACACACTATCATAGGTATGTGTTTTTTTATTTTTGTGAAATGTGGAGCATAAGTTGGGTGACCTCTGTAGTTGTACCATGTAACCTTGTAAAAGTTCGTTTTTGCAATTGTATTTAGTTCTTTCACAGACACGGCCATAAAGTGCCAAATTCTGACATCCTTCTTGGATCTTTGTTCATCTTTTTCTAAATCATGGTCATAGAGAACGGACTGAACGTTCTCTGCCGGACTGTAACTGTAAACTGAATCTCGGCAGAGAAGTGTGAGAAAGGCAAAGCGACTTCGACGTCAATAGTTCGTATAGCTGCACCATTACTTTTTCTTTTTCCTAGAGAGTTATCAATTTCCAGCTAGTTTCGCTCAGTCCATTCATTGTACTATGATCTAAAATCACCATCTATTGATATCATCGTAAATAAAGTCTTCATATGTAGGTACATGGTCTAAATCAGCGCTATCAGATCCAATTGATATCTTTCGTAAATAAAATTACTGCACTTTCGTTAAGCTTACGATAACGGCTAGAAGCACAAATTGCAAGGTGATTATTGTATCTCTTTAGATACAACTCGACGCCTGCGTCGCCAAGCGAGTCGCGGCAGTGCGGGCGCGCGGATCTCACGCAGCGACACAACTCCTCTCCCGACACGGGCCTAGGGGACCATGCCACTAAAATGTAAATACCTAAAATACTGTACTTGATAATAGTGTCGATTCTGGCATAATTCTCTAAACCTGTAATTAAAGGACAATGGGCAAAACACCCAGCTCCGCCAACAATGTAATTAGTATGAATCAATAGATCTATGAAAAACTAGCCTTTTTTACTATGACATCGTAAAAAAATATCCTGGTAGTCAAAAGACATGACACCGTACAAAATATCGTAGCTTTACCTTAATTTTTTAATATTAGTAACCATAATAATAGGCCGTATCTGACTATACAACCATATTTACGACAAAGCCTGCCGACCATCCTGCACTTGCACTTACTGAGCCACCTCAAAACGGTTTACGGGATTTGAAGGACTTGCAGTTGCAAATAGTCGACTTACTTCGTTGTGATCGTGCGCTCCATGTCACTTGATTGATTTTTATCTAACACACTTTGGATAGTTAAACACGATTATCGGTTTTTTCAATTAGCATGGATGAACTGTAATCATGTTTTATCCGAAGCGTGGACAAGTTTGTGTGATTTGTGGTCGCTCCGTTTTACATAGACGACAATTCACTGTAACGAAAAGACTGTTTGAAAAAACAAACAACAACAAAATAAGTTTTTGGGATTTACTCTAGTGCGGCAGAATAACATAAGGGAGCACCCTTGTACCTTGTGAAGTACTTCCATAATACCTGAGCCCTCTATGTAGAGTCGAACTAACTTACTAAATAAATTCCATTGTTTCATTAATGTTCGTTCGTTATAGTACTTATACCTATTTAACTTAAAATAACTAAAGACCCCCGGGATGGAATTTGATGCGCTTTGACACAGATGATCATTACTATTATACCTTTCAAACGAATGTAGTTTAAGCCGTGGCGGACGTGGGTGCAGCGTCCATATATTTCTGCCCAATGTCCAAACAGTGTATCCTTGTCAGTGTTGCCAGACGTCTCGATTTTGACGGGACGTCCCGATTTTCAAATCAAAAATAAATGTCGCGCGCGGGACAGGCTCAATCCCGCTTTTCGGGAATAACTCGACGGTGCGTGCAGCGTACTGAGAAAGAACGGGCGGGTAGCACAGGCAAGTGTAGACTGGCCGCCTGCCCGGCGCGTAATGAAGATAAATATTCAATAACTTTTGATTATATACGTTTATTTTACTATGTCCCGCTTTCGACGAAAGAATCCCGCTTTATTCACTCAAAAAGTTCCTAAATCCCGACTTGGCAAAATAAAATCTAGCAACGCTGATCCTTGTCATTCTAAATGAAAAATGAAAAGGAGAGACTGATGTTAAATTAGCTTTAATTTGGGAGAATCATGCCAGGATCGACACCACTATATGCTTTTATCATACTCTATATAATAGCCATTTTACATCCAAAAATCTGTCTACTGCGCAAGTTTTTTTTGTCTGTGCTTTTGCTCAAAACGTTTGCCACTACTTATACACTGCAGCACCCGCCTTTGACTTTGACCCAAAACATTAAGAAAGTAAAAAACGGAGAACAAGCCAAAGACAACATGAAAACTTCGCTCTTGCTCTTGCCTTGTTTTCAGTGTTTCTCAGCTTAAAAAGTACAGTCACCATTGTATTTGCTCTCTAAGTTGTGAAACTCCTTATTGCGCGTGCTTTTAGGTTTATATTGTAGCCGGTGTCGCACTGGAATGAGGTCAGTGTGTTCCAGCTTGAGAGAACGTTTGGGGACAAAGTTCCTTCGCACTTTATATGAAAATTCAAAACATATTTTATTTACATTTAACTAAAGTATGTAGGTGCCATTTTGTTCGATAACTTTTTGTCATCTTCTAGGTAGGGACATGATCCCATTGCTATAGAAATTTAGGGCCTTCTGATTAAAAAACCGCGACAAGTGGTTTTGGCAGTCCTCTCGTGATGTTAACCTGACACTGCCTAAAGAATTTTGAAAAGACTGAAACAGGTGGTAATCTGAAGGTGCAAGGTCAGGACTATACGGCAGACTAACACATCCCAGTCAAACTCTCTTAGTTTTTGCTGAGTGGCTAAAGATGTGTGAGGTTTAGCGTTATCATAATGAAAAACCACACCCCTTCTGTTGATTAATTCCGGCCACTTTCTCTCAACTTCTTGCTTAAATCTCAGCAGTTGTTTGCAGTAGAGTTCAGAATCGATGATCCTACCTGTCGGTACAGCTTATAATGAATAATGTCCTTCCAATCCCACCATACACACAGTATCACCTTGGTGCGAGTTATCCCGGGTTTCGCCAGAGTCTGTGAAGCCTGACCGGCCTTTGACCACGACCTTTTTCGCACGTTCTTGTCGTATGTGATCCACTATTTTTTACCTGTTCTTCTTCTAGCTTCTTCAAAAATAGTTCAATTTTATTACGTCGTAATAAAGAATCACAAATGAGTACACGGTTCATTAGGTTTCTTTCAGTGAGTTCTTGAGGCACCTAAATATCGAGCTTTTCTGTGTACCCAGCTTTTTTAAATGCGCAAAATCTATTTTGTGGTCAATATGACGATCATGCTCCACTTTTTCAAAAATGACATCCATTTTATCCGTAAATGAGCGACCACATCGACGTGCATCTTTGACATAAAATTTTTGGATTGAAAACGCTTAAAACAAATTTGTGCTCCTCTCACAGACCTCTGCACTTACGAGTAACTAGGTCCATAAACATCACAAACTTTTTTCGCGAATTACGTGGAATTTTTACCTTTTTTGTAGTAAATTTTTAAAATGTATCGAATTTCTGCATTAGATTCACTCATCAGGAAAAATCAAACAATTTTCTAATTTGAGTTTGGAATTTTCTTCTTTAAAATTTTACCTTTTTAATGATACCAAAACCAGCCAGATACCGATGGTATAGCAAAAGAGATTTTATTACAAGTTCATTAAGATTAATTAAGTACTATAATGCAAAAAGACTTTTTTCCCAACCTATTACATTGGTGACTGTAAAAGTTTACTTGTATTGCCACTGGTGTGCCATAGTAAAAGCGCCGTTCTCGCGCGTGTGTTTAGGTTCATATCGCAGCCAGCGTCGCCCGCGGGCGGGGCGGTGAGTGCGGGCGCGGGCGGTGAGCTGGCGGCGCGGCCCGCGCACGCGGTACGCACATCGCGCTCTGAGGACCATCTACAAGTGGGTATAAGTGGGCTTACATACGATATTTGTAGTCATTAATTATAAGAAAATTGCATGGTATGCAATAAACTATGAACCGGCTCTAGGCATGACAGGCGGAGAGTCAAGAAACCCGTGGTCATGCCTGAAGTTTTATCGGGAGTCGGTTTACCTGGTAGGTACGGTAGCTGGTCGACCAGCTAGCCACCCGGATTAAGGTCCGTTTGACTAGACAGGTGATGCTGTGAACGGAGAAGCCCAGGATCGGCTTGAGCACCGTGGACCGGGCTGCTGAAGGGCGGGGTGTTGTGACGTCTGCCACACACGGCGGGCGGTCGTTGCAGTGTTTTTTAATATTAGGAGGCCCTGCGACTGGATGCCGTTATTGGATCCGATGCCATCTAGTTTTTGCCAACGTTACTATAGCAACAGTGCCGCAAACTTATTTGTGCCGGTGGAGATGTCGCTAGTGGTGCACAAATATATCATAAAAATGTCAAAATGCTATGGATAAATTGTAGTTCAAATTTTTGCCACTGGCACAGAAAAGTTTGTTGCACTAGACTGCGTTCAAAACCTACGCTCTGGGTGCAATTTTTTTCGTAATGTTTTGCCAGCATTTAATATTTTCAGTTACCATACCGAAAAGTAAATAAATGGTTTTGATTACATTTTCATGTCATGATTAATGGAATCGAAGAGACACACCCACACAAAACACGCATCTGTCGTGATTCATATCGTATCCTATGATACTACGATACTGACATTCACTTGGCATCGATGCGCGCATCGGAAGCGATTTATCTGATACCGATGCGCATCAATTTCACGAATATCTAAAAACACATATCTCTAGTAGGCCCAGCAAATGAATCCACCCCACCTGAAGTTAAGTGACGGTGGAATCCGGACGGGAAGATAGCAAAGCATTTTATTTGTGGATTGTGCGAGAAAGAGATGTGTCACCAAATTACTTTGTTCGCGATGGAATGGTGGCTACAGTAAGTCGGTGACAACGTACGTTGTACTGTAGTCATAAAGCAACACGGAAGGGAGTAACCATAATGACATAATACTATTCAAATCTTTCTGCTATTTCTTGCAGGGTGAATATGCACACAAATGCTTCAGTTCAGCAGATAGGCGTAAAAACAAAACAGTAATTACGACACTCACACATTAATAATGACGCCATACACCGCCAAATCCTGCACACATGTATTGTTTGTATACCCAATTCGACATAGGGGAAAGCTGTGTAAGCCCACTCCCCTTCCTTCTTGATAAAATTTTTGATTAAAATTATGCGCGCTTCGGAGTATATTTTCTATAACATGCCGCTTGCCGCAGAAGGAGTCCTCGTTGAGCGCAGTGGGAGTGGAGTTAGAAGAGGATGTGACTGCATCTCTCAACACTTTGCTCGACGCTCGCCCCGACTCGGCCACGCCCGCGCCCCGCTCGGAATCCGAGCGAGACAGGTATAATACAATCTTTTTTTTTTTTTTTTTTTTTTTTTTTTTTTTTTTTTTTTTTTTTTTTTTTATATATTATTTGCAATCAGTCTTTGGACTATGAGCAAATTTATTGAGCGCAACCAAACATGACAGGAGTGGTCGGCCAGCGCCACCACTTCCTTTAAAGAACATTCTTCCTCTTCAGTCTCGAGACGCGGTCAGCTTGCTCAAGCAATTGGCATATTAAAGGATTTGGATGGTTTGAGAGGCGCTCAGTGTACCTCGATTTGCAATTGTCTATCTCTTCTGCGACAGTGGGCATGTTCAAGTATTCATGAATTTCGTCATTTTTTGTGAACCATGGTGCATTTACTATTGTTCTGAGGATATTATTTTGAACTCGTTGCAGGCAAGTAATGTTACTTTTGCAAGCAGTGCTCCACAACTGTATCCCATAAGTCCAAACTGGTTTTATAATGGTATTGTAAATAAGAAGCTTGTTGTCGATTGACAGGGCAGAGTTACGGTTCATAAGCCAATGAAGGTTTCTGTATTTTATATTAACTTCATCTCTCTTTTTCTTTAAGTGCTGCTTCCAGGTGAGTCTCCTATCCAAGTGGAAACCAAGATACTTGACGCAATCTGAGTGTGGGAGTGTGTCTGACCCAAGGTGAACAGGAGAACAGTTTCCCTTCCTTAATGCAAACGTAATGTGGTTCGATTTTTGACCACTGACTCGAATACGCCATTTTTTCAGCCATGCGTGAGTTTGATCTAATAGGTTCTGTAGCTTTGCACTAGCTATGTCAGGGTCTTTATCGCAGGCAAGGTATGCAATGTCATCAGCGTATGTAGCAATTACAGCGTCGCCAGCAGTGGGAAGGTCGTAGGTGAATATGTTATACAGAACCGGACCAAGTACCGATCCTTGCGGGACTCCAGCCTCCACAGCTTGCAAGGAAGATCGTGAGTCATCGACTTTAACCCTAAAGTATCTTTGTGACAGGTACGATGCAATTATGAGGTAAACCGAGTGTGGTAGGTTCTTTTTAACCTTGTACAATAGGCCCTTGTGCCAAACCTTGTCAAACGCCTGTTGCACATCCAGGAAAGACGCGGAACAGTATTCCTTTCTCTCATAGCAAGTTCTTACTGTGTCATATACACGATGCATTTGTTCTATGGTGGAGTGGGATTTTCTAAAACCAAATTGATGTGTAGGGATGAGGTCACATTTATCCATGCAATATTTAAGGCGGGTAAGGAAAATCTTTTCCCACAGTTTAGAAAGTGTAGGCGTCAAGCTAATGGGTCTGTAGGATGTAGGTTCATGTATAGGTTTTCCTGGTTTGTGTATCATGATGATTTCAGAGATCTTCCATATGGCTGGGAAACAAGACGTCCTAAATATGGCGTTAAACAGGCATGCCAGGAAGGTGAAACATTTTCTAGGAAGTTCTTTTAAGACCCGTGTTGAAATGAGGTCGAAACCAGGCGCCTTTTTCGAATCGAGTAATTTAATTTCTCTTGCAATTTCTTTTGGGGAGGCAGGTGTCAGAGGCAGGCATAGCTGGAGATCTTGACCAAGTACCGTTTCAACTTCAGTTTCATCCTCTAGAGCATCGTTAGGCTTAAAAGTTGTGGCAAGATGGGTAGCGAAAACTTCAGCTTTCTCTGCATTTGTTTTTGCCCAGGAAGTAGAAGAAGATCTAATAGGCGGAGTGCATTGCATTGGTTTTCCAACAATCCTCGTGTTTTTATACAGAGAATATTCGCCTTTACCATGTGGTGACATACTTTCCAATTTTTGTTTGATATTGGCATTCCTAGTTGCCTCTAGAACTAACTTTAGGTCTTTTACAGCACGGTTAAACACCTTTTTGTCGACCTCTCTTCTAGTTTGGTGCCATATCCTTCGCAAACGGCGCTTTTCTAAAATTTTCTTTTTTATTTCGGAGGAAACTAATATGTTTTGTGGGGCATGCTCAACATACGGGGTACTTTTCCAAGCAGCAGTCTGAATCACATTTGTGACATGCACACAAGCAGCATCCACATCTTCTTGGGATTTAAGTGGCATCCTAAAGTTAAGATTGGTATCTATATAATAACGAAAGCATTCCCAGTCGGTCTTATGATTTGTCAAGGTTTCAGGCTGTTTTTCGGACATGATGACAGATGAGCTCAAAGTTAATATTACCGGGGTATGATCAGAACTCCCATCTAAGCTAGATTCCACGCAGGTATATAACTGACTTATGTTTTTAGTAACGAAAAAGTCGAGGAGGTCTGGAAGTCTACATTTGTCTGCTGGCCAGTAGCTGGGTTCTCCAGTAGATATTGCCATTAGGTGAAGAGCACATTGACTTTTTCTCAGTTCACGACCTCTCGGTAGAGTGATGCGAGAACCCCAGAATGTATGCTTGGCGTTCCAATCACCGCCTGCAATAAATGTGTTGCCAAGAGTTTCGAAATATGCCTGGTACATTTCTTGTGTAATCTTATGCTTCGGGGGACTGTATACAGCGGATAGAATAAATGATCCCGTTCGATCCTCTACACGTACAGAGGTAGCCTGAATGTGGTATGTTGAGTATCCTTCCAATGGCACGTGTTTAATGTTCGAACGAATGACTAGCGCCGTTCCAGCATGAGCTCGGCCATCGGGGTGCGGCGTGAAATATATTTTGTAGCCTTTCATCTGGAAGTTACTTTTATTAACTGCATGAGATTCCGATATAAGGGCCACGTCTAGTTGATTAATCGACAACATGTTTTCCAGTTCGCAAATGTTCGGAGACAGCCCATTGATGTTCCAGGTTGCAATGCGGATATTTAGGAATTTGGTTGAAGCATGGAGATGAGAGTTGTCAATAGGTTCATTAATGTTCCTATTTGTTGAATGAATGAATAATACAATCTATTTTCCCATTTTATCTCTCGTTGTCACTCTGTTTTTCTCCCATTTAACTATCTAATTACCTAGAATGATATCATCTTGCTCAGTTTATTTTTTATTAATTAAAAAACTGTCATACTAATTTGTTACTTATATCTTTCTCTCCCTCTCACTCATTGTTTCTGTTTGCTCACGCATTTGTTTGTCTCTATAGTAAATACCCATGTCTAGTCCATATGGACTACACATTAATTAAGACAAAAAAATTACATAACCTCAGGATATTAGATTTTACGTCGAATAAAAGTTTATTTAATATTCTGAGAAGATTTCTATTCTAGAACTTATTAAATGTATTCTTGACTTTCTGGAAACCTTGACAACAGCTTGGAAAAAATCATCAATTTTTCATTTCACTCATTCATACGTTTTCATATTTGGTTTTGCTAAGTATAACCTATATAACATTCATGGGTAGCGGACACCAAATCGTGGAGTTACAACTGTACAGGTAGGTATTTCAAACAACCCATATTTTAAAGATCATTAAAAAAATAATAGTAATTGACCATCAAAAAAAAAAACAAATGGTAACCTAATCGAACCTTTAGGTTACCAATTGTATTTTTAGGTGATCATTTACTATTTTTTGATGATCATTTGAATATTTTCCATTGAAAAATTAAGAATTTGTATGTCCACACGAACGGACGTGTTCGCTTTTTGCACTGTGCACGCATAGTAACCATCTTTAGTTAGATTTGTAACACTACTGCCGCTTAATACTACAAGCCGATAGATTTACATCAATATGTAGAAATGTTATCTAATATAATTACACCATAGTAAATTTTCTTTCCATTTTAAATAAAAAGGCATTATTTGATGACACTTTCAAATTGTAATGCACTGAAAAGCTGTAATTTACAAATTATGCAACTTCTTACTGATTGAATAGATGATGGCAAAAATGTATATAAGGAAACAAGACCACCATGAAATATGTCTTGAAAACAGAAACGAGAGAGTTGGAGAGAGGTGGTTAGCTATGTTTAATGACTAAATAAAAATTGCTTTTAATCTATCAATATGGTGTGAAAATGAATAAACACGTTATATGATATTGTTATTATAGTTACAGAACATGGTATGAACATAGTAGCTAAAGTAGTAAGTTAAATCCAAGTATACATAACAGTATGGTATCGTGATCAGTATATGCACGCTACCCAGTTAAGGGTGTATACGGCATGTAGTTGCGAATATGGTAGCAAGTTAAAACTCGGTACGAAAAGTGCGATTCAAGCTTGATGGCGGCTGTGAAGTTAGCGCAAGTAACCAAAATTCAGATGCGTGTGGGGTTTCATCAAAGACATAAAAAAATGAATTGAGCGAAACCCACTCGAAATGAACACTGTCTGGAAAGAACGAGAAGTATCATGCGGCCTATACCTATTTAAAGTACTCTCAGCTCGACCGCTTCATCCCTCTCTCATTACACATAGGTAGCGAACGCATAGTTCATTCTCTATTTCTGTGGGTATTACCATAGACATATAGAATGGTCAATACATTCCCTATCCAACTGTGAAGTAAAAATGGGTAGATAAGTTTGAGAGAAAACGAATCGACCGCTTGAACCATAGATCTTAGAAAGGTATTATCTGCCTTTTCTCTTGATTGTTGATTCCCGCAAGTGACGCTCAGTTAGTCCTGTGGGTGTAAAGGTTTCACTGACTGAAACCTGTGCACATTCGCGCTCGTTGCTAACTTCACAACGGCCAAGTCTGAATCGCACTATAAACGTGTGGTTGCAGAATCGTGTGGACATACAACGCGCCCGTCTCGTGCGCGTCGGAGCGGACGCAGTGCAACGGCTCGGCGACCACTTCCAATTCCACATCCATATCTGACGGCATGTCGCAACGGTATAAACAAGAATATATGTATTTACCAGCCTAATATCACCATTTAGCATCGTTATTAGCTTTCAAACGCCTCCCCCTCCCACGTGTCTTTTTTGATGCAAAAATGATAATAATCAAATTGTTTGGTGTGTCCAAAATTTGCTTTAACTGAAGGCCCATGCCATGAGCATCCACGTGAATAAATGTGACACCTCAAGATCGCCTTTTGTACTATTTTATAATAGGCTAGTTGACTCATGTCGAATTGTATTAAATAAATGTTTATTTATTAAAGTATTTGGTCTAAGGAACCTAAATATATCGATTTCACTTCATAAAAGCAGAAGATTGCTGTAGAAATTTAATTTAAAAAAATATTTTTAGTCTATATTTTTTAAACACTAAAAACGCTGTTCGCCACATCCGCTATGATTGTGACGTCTCTTGTAGTAAACAACTAAATGTCATTCGCGTGTTACTGTGGGTGGATTCTTTCGTCTGACTAAATTTTTCTTAAAACACTTTTAACTTCTAAATATAATTATGGATGCCGGCATTGTGAAAGCAGAAAGCACAAATCTGGCAAGAATTGACGCATTGATGGTTGGTCAATTTTTTGCACTAAACCCCGATTTATGCTCTGCGGAGCAGAGAAACGACAAGGCATCTACGTAAGTACAGTGCATTTAGTATTACAATGGCGTCGATTCTGGCGTGATTCTCTAAACTTAAAACTAAATTTAACATCAGTCCCTCCTTTTCATTCTGTACAGATAATGTCAAGGATACACTGTTGTCAAATTTAGTTTTAGGTTTAGAGAAACATACCAGAATCGACACCAATGTAGTAATAAACATAAAACTGATACAACATGGATAAGTGTAATAAAGTTGTGTAGGTTAATTTCTTTCGGCACTTTAATCCACAACTTTCCTGGAGTCTTCAAGGATGTGTTTTTATATTCTCGTACAATTCAATAATGATAATTACTTTATTTTTCGTGGTATTTATTAAAAATCATGTTTTTTTTATTATAAACTCAGATAAGTTATTTTCTACGTGCTTACGAGTTTTTGTTTACTACAATTGACGTCATAGCATAGATAATCTATAGACTAAAATGGCCGACAGCGTTTTTGTATGTCCATGAAAAGTCTATTTTAAAATTAAAGATTTGTAGCTTACTAGGTCTCAAAAAAATACAATACATTTTTTTTCGGTCTAATAGAACATTTATTAACCATTTAACACCTTTTTCCAAAAAGGGTCAACTAGCCTATATTATTCAACCTAATTAATCAAAAATGGAGAAGAGTAGAAATATGCCGAAAGAAGATAAAATATTATTAATTGTTATTAGTAACTCTACGATTGGCAAGTCTGTCAGTTCAAGATCTCTTGTATCATTTTATCTTACCCAAATGAATATAAATGGATAGCCAAATTCATTTCCAGATATTAGATTTGTCAAAGAATTTTATTTTTCCATGTTTTACCGGCCTTCGTTAGAGAGTAATGCTTCCATATCATTTCTAATTCGTAAGTTTCTATATATCAATCTAATCGATGCCTTTGCTAGCCAAAGATAGGCATATCTCATATAGTCATAGTAGGGAAAAATCATAGACATGGTAAAACAACGGCCGTTAACAAGAGACCTAAAGAGTTTTCTTGCATCAGGTCATCATCACCAGCGTCGCCGACGTCGGCGTCATCTTCAGTGCTGTCCCCGCGAGCGGCCACCCATCTCCATCACCGCCCGCTAAACGGTAACTTAACACACACAACACTCTTATTAATGGAGATTACGACAAATAAACAAATCATTAACATGTGAGACGGGTGTCTTAAGAATTACAAAAAATCGATGTCGAGGAAATATAGTAAGACAGTAGACACACTGAAATCACTCGCCTAAAGTGGCTAAAGTTATAGAAGAGGTCTACTTTATCTTTTTTATGTAATAAAGTATTCCTTGTGAGTTATTTGATTGAACTCCTAAACAGCTGGACCGATTTCGATGATTTTTTGTGTGCATTCAAGTAGATAAAATTAGTTTTTCACGGGTAATGCACGAAACTTTATTTATTTATTGACGTTTCGCAGCCTTTACAGGCTGCGTCGTCGGAATCAATTTTTTGTCGAGCTACCTTCGAAAGACTTATTGAGCGTTCGGTTATTTCATTATTCGATTTTTAAAGTTTTATTGTCTATGTATGAATTTATTAGTTAATTTAGTTAATAAAGTACTTTATTTAAAAATCTTTTTTGTAATTTTGAATTTATTTATTTGACCCTAACTACCGTAAACTACCACCGGTTCCAAAATTGGGAGACCTTTCTGAGAAGAACCGGCGAAACAAACTCAAGAGAGGCTTTCTATCTCCTTCTTATGTTAAATTATGCAAACAAAAAGAACTAATAGGTTCTGTTGGTCTTGCAGTGTGTGTTCGTGGTAGGGATTTTATCTCCTGTATAATGGGTTCCCAAGCTGGTGGTATATACCAATCATCTTCCCTATTGAAATTTGGATATTTTTTAATCTCAATAGCCTCGCGTATCATTCTAGGAATGAATCGTTGCTCAGTTGCAAGGAACTGTAGTTTATCAAATCTAATGTAATGGTTTGGTCCCCCTAATGCATGTTCACACACTGCAGACTTATTTTCGCGCCTATAACCCGTGAAAAACTAGTTTTATTTAATGAGTGATGTGCGTGAAAACCTAAGAAACAAATATGCATTCAAGTAGGTTCCGGGATGGCTTGGATTCACAATTATACACTGCAAATGACGCCACTTGATTGCTGCATACTCCAGGATGTTTTTTTAATATTTTTATCGGGCAGGACAACGTCTATCGAATCTTCTAGTAAGGGGTCATCCATAAAGCATGTCACACTAATTTCGTGAATTTTTTAACCCCACCCCCGACCTTGTCACATTTACCCTGACATTGTAATATTTCTGCGAAAGGGGGCACTAGTGTGACATATATTGCAATTTTGCATCTAAAAACTTATTAAATTAAAAAAACAGTACTGAAACCTCACTAACCAAACAAATTAAACCCATACAGGTACAGTTCTAGATATTCTAAAGGTTTTCGTTAAAAGATCTATCTCGCTTTTTATCAACAGGCGATATGAGCTTATCGGAAGCAGTTTCCAACATCTCCAGTCCCGACTACCAGGATCAGAACGACATGTTCGAAGCTGGCCGCGAATGCCCCCGCATGGAACTCTCCGACCCTTCGGACTCCGATTCTACGATCTTAGTATCGGAGCCGTGTCACAAACGAGCCAAGTCCAATTCCTCGTACAACGGCAGCGATCTCACGCTCAACGGCGACCACGGCGACTACCGGATAGTTATACAGGTTAGATGATTATTGCTAAATCCTAAACCTTTACGAACTTCACTGCGGTCATTGATTTTCAACCAAAAGTTATCTGAGCAATAACAGAGTTTATAGTTATTTATGTTATTAACGGGATTTCTACATGTACTTTGGTATTTGCGAGTCCGCAATATATTTAATAATAAGAAAGTTTACTAAAAGTGAACAACTAATATTGTGGCTAACTTTCCATTCCCTGTTCACTGAAACAAGTTAGTGGAGCGCTTTCTTTATTACGCAACCGCTTACAAAACACAAGGATGAAAACCTGCATCACAACAGCTAGGGGGCTGTCATTCGGAATAACGTTAACAGTATAGTCCGACTGATGAAAAGAAAGCTTAGGTTTCGCGATACTATTCCCCGCATGCAAATCTCGGACCTTTCGGACTCTTTCTTGCCTCTACCATCTTGCATGGGTGCTCTTCTGAGCACCCCATGCAAGATGGTTTGTTTATGATGAAATGTATGCTGATTCGTTCTCGAATCAGCATACATTTCATCATAAACAAAACTGCGCCGACGAAGAAGCGCAACACTTATAGTACGGCATAATAATCTGAAGGGAGCGAGTAATACATTAAATAGGATCAATTTATGTCTCTATTGATATCCCGTATTTATCTCACTGCTACATTATATGACGTGATACAATATAATGCCGGCACTTAACTTGGTTATTCGTATTTGCTTTGTATACTTGTCTGTCGTTATAATACCGTGATTACACTTTGTCATTAGCCCGAATACGAGTGCCGATGGAATTCGGGTAAACGATTAAGTGTAAATAAACGGAGTCTACTCGACTCCGTTCAGGTAGTTTTTGTTTTGGTTATCCGCCACCGTCTTTCAGTCTGTATTCAAGTGAAAATATTGCTTCGGGTGCCCCCGTATTAGAGTAATGTCTTTCGTGCACCCGAATACAGGCTAACGACCAAACGTAACTGGGCTATTAAGAATGAAAAAGACAGACTGATGTCAATGTTACAAATAGCAAACACGAATAGCCAAATGAAGAGCCGGCATACCAATTTTAGTTTGTCGATAAGAATCCGAAGAGTGTGCTCCGAATGCGCTTGTGCTGTTAAGATTAATCGTGAATGTGACACAGGTGAAGGGCCCCGACAAACAGAACGCGAACGAAACGGTAAACCATAACAATAACAACAACAACAATAGTGCGTACGCACACAACGCCAAGGAGAACGGACACACCTCGCCCGAAAACCAGCCGTATCAGGTAAATAGCTAGATATATTATTTAAACTACAAAAGCTATTTAATCTTTCAAATATATGACATTGTGGGTTACCTACAATGCAATGAGATAGCGCTGCCATGCTGTCTAAGAAATACTAGAAAAAAATCGACACGGCCTTAAATTAAGGTCGCGGTAGCACAATTGGTAATCCGCCCGGATAGAGGGTGGGGATTCAACTCTGCTGCTTGGACGTGGATTTTTTTCTAGTAAAATTTTCTTTAGATTTATGTAGCTAGTATATCAAATAATTCAGGAACAAAGGTGTTATTATAGTAATGCTATGTGGTTCTGATAATCAAAATCGTAAGTCTTATGGTACTAGAAGATAAATATTTGCTAGGGATGGGAAACATAAAAAATAATGCATACTTATTTGTTTTTCGTTGATATAATTTGTAAACGTCTTAGATCGAGATATTTAAAGAAATATCAATGGCATTTAATAGCAACTAGATTTGTACAAAAGACAACCGAAATCCAATAATAATTTTATGTTTGCATTCGAATGGTTTAGATTTCGAAAGGTTGTCGATTGATTGTTTGATTTTTGTTAGGTTAGGTATGGTTTAGATTTCGAACTCTGATATTAAATACCCTAGATACACCACGTGCGCTCAAAATGTGTCCCTATCAAGAAGTGCTTTAACGCGACTCGAGCACTTATTGGTTCACAGTCACGCGCTGCTGTTGAAAAGTCAACATGCCGCTGAGCTCCGTGAAAAAATTCGAAATAAATAAAGTTTCGTCGATAGATATCTAATCAATGTTTGTTAATTTAACGCATTTTAAGTAAAATTTGTTTTTATTATACTTACTATAAACTGATTTAATACAAAATAATAATAAATAAATATTTCCAACACTCACAGCAATTAGCCTAGCCCCAAAGTAAGCACTGTAAGGCTTGTGTTATGGGATACTAGGGTAACGGATAGAATACATAATTATACAGTACATATATACATCTCGAAATACATATTAAACATCAATGACTGGAGCATTTGTAATGCTCGTATTCATCACACAAACATCTGCCCCCACCAGGATTCGAACCCGGGACCTCTCGAGTCGGCGACACCGTGAAACCCGGCGTATAAACCACTCGGCCGGGGAAGTCGTAAAATATTTGTAATATTCAAATGCATGGTCGGAAACATTGCCGTCTCTTGTCCTCGTGGTCCGGACCTGCTATATTGCTAACAGCGCATTCTGAATTGAAACTGAAATTGAAGCGTAGAGTCAAAGAAATAAGGTCTATATTCCGCATATAAATTTTGCGAGCTTACATTTCGGACTGCCATAACTTTTTGACGGAAGCGTTTTAATTAAAACCTAATATAGTGTGCTTTAAAGGTGATTTTCAATGTTTAAATAATGCCTTATATTGTTTCGACTACGCGATCATCTTACGGAGTTCCGTGGATCGTCCAATGTACCTTTTGGACAGGTCTCAGGCATGATTTTATTCGTGTTGGTGTATCTAGGGTATTTTATATCGTTGACTGTATGTTTATTTTTGAAGGAGTGTATTTGATAGTGTTTATTCTATCGTTACAGCTCAGTAGCGGTTCGGACGGTGGTTCGGACGAGGGCTCGGATGGGGATTCGTTGCACTCGTTCCACTATAGCCCTAAGGCCGTGGACATACCATCGGCCGAGAGGCTGGCCAAGCGGCTGTACCACCTCGACGGGTTCAAGAAGTCTGACGTCTCCAGGCATCTCAGCAAGAAGTGAGTATCATCTTCATAATATCTAGCTGCAATCATTTCACTATAGTCCCAAGGCCGTAGACTTCTGACGTCGCCAGGCATCTCATCAAGAAGTGCGTATCATCTTCATAATATGTAGCTGCAATCATTCCACTGTAGTCCCAAGGCCGAGGACTTTTGACGTCGCCAGGAATCTCAGCAAGAAGTGTGTATCATCTTCATAATATCTAGCTGCAATCATTCCACTATAGCCCCAAGGCCATAGACTTCCGACGTCGCCAGGAATCTCGGCAAGAAGTGTGTATCATCTTCATAATATCTTGCTGCAATCATTCCACTATAGTCCCAAGGCCGAAGAGATCCCGTCGACCAAGCGGCTGTACCACCTCGACGGGTTCAAAAAGTCCGACGTCTCCAGGCATCTCAGCAAGAAGTGCGTATCATCTTCATAATATCTAGCTGCAATCATTCCACTATAGTCCCAAGGCCGTAGATGTCCTGTTGGCCAAACAGCTGTACTACCTCGACGGGTTTAAGAATTACGACGTCTCCAGGCATCTCAGCAAGAAGTCTTTATCATCTTCATAATATTTTGCTGCCATCTTTCTACTATAGTCCTAAGGCCGTGGACATCCCGTCGGCCAAGCAGCTGTACCATCTCGACGGGTTCAAGAAGTCTGACGACTCCAGGCATATCTGGCAATTTTCTTGAGCAACGACCAGAACTATAGGCAAAGCCTGCGCTGTAGGAATTTTACATACAAAAACGTCTGCTGCGCAAGTTTATTTGTCTGTAGGTTTGCTCAAGAAATTTGCCGCTGCGACCCATATCATCTTCTTATTATTTTTCGACACCCGTTGTTAACTCCCAAGTTGTGTTGCCACTTCTTTGTGTCAGATCTTTTGAGTGCATGTTTCCTTTACTTCTGTTTTATAATAATCGCACCTTTAGAATTGAAGTGACCTAATCCAAAATTCTTGTTTTTTGGTAAACGCTATAAATGTGATTGACAAGTTGGCCATTTTTTTGTTTTTCTATTATAATGCTATAAAGTTGTACGTTTATTATCATATTTTTTATTGTTAATGGTAGGATAGGAATTGTTTTCACGATTATTTACTAAACCAGTCTGTATAACTAATTAGAACCTTTGTTAATTAATCATAAAAAAAAACATGTCACTTATTTTCCGAAAACAGTTTATTATAATTGGCTTATTTCACTTTGTGCCCATTTTTTACTAAACAACGTAAAACAAAAACGTAACTATTTAATATAGAGGCGATTCATTTCTGATGTTATATATTTGATAGATGACCAATTTTGTCATATGCTAGTTTAATAATTAATGACTTTCTAAATTAAAGGAAAATTAAATAAATGTCCACGCAACACTGAATGGGGTACTTCAATACTGAGGGAGGCGCGGTATGCGTGTCATTTAAAAGAGACGGAAACAGTGCGTTTGTCTTCTTCTGGCCTAAAAGAGCCTGTTTATTATTAATAAACTGATAGGATACATGTTTTTATGTCGTTTCACGTTTAAAAGTGATTTTGCTATTTTTTTTATTTAAGTCACTTCAATTCTAAAGGTGTGATATGTTTTACATATTTCTTTTTTTTTTTACATAAAATAGGAATGTCTTTTCCATTTTAAGAGATCTAATGCTGTTTCCATTTTTTAAATCCCGGGTCAGACTAGTTAAACCCCCCATCAAGTGATCCTCTTCTCTAACTTTCTTAACGCAATTGCTTCAGTTACTTTTGAAACGAAACGATAATGTGCACGAATTTCGACAGCTCCGTTCGTATCATCGTCCTCAAATTTTGTATGGAAGGAGACATTTTGTTCTTACGTCCGGTAGATGTGCTGCTTAGTTTTCATAGAAACTGACGATGCTGTACAATTACGGAGCTGTCAAAATTCCTGCTTGGGCGTCTGCTTCCCAGTCAAATGTTTTTATTTCCAATATACACAGGACTTCATTGAAATGTCTTAATTTTGCAGCAACGAATTCTCTCGAGCAGTGGCGGAGGAATACGTGAAACACTTCGACTTCAGCAGCGCGACGCTCGACGTGGCCCTTAGAACGTTCCTCGCGAGATTTGCTTTAAGCGGCGAGACGCAAGAAAGGGAAAGAGTATTGGTACACTTTTCAAGAAGATACCTCGAGTGCAACCCGGGCTCTTTCAACTCGCAAGGTAATAAATAGAAATAAAGATTTTAGAGCTATAAATGAAGGGAGGCTTTGGGAAAATTTATGGCTACCAGTTGACACCACTGTCATGAGATCTTTTGTATGAAGTTTTTGGCATGAATCAATCGAACGAACAAGCAAATTAAATTGATCTATAAACTTTGATGACATACGTGATTTGATGAGTAGACCTTTCGGCTCACTGCTGCCAACTGGTGCCTGTCATTCTAAAAACCCTTATTTTCTTAATGGTTCGCGCTCAGCGTCGAAACGAAATAGGGTTAAGGAGTGCTGGTTTACTTCTCATGACAATACCACGAGTGCAACCCGGGCTCTTTGAACTCTCAAGGTTTTTCATTCTCTCGAGCGGTGGGGATGTAATCTAGACTCTTTTATCTCGCAAACTAACAAATTCCCTGACATTTGAATAGCTGATAGAGAAATCTGTTTTGTTAATTTTATTATTTTATCTGTTTCTATGTTACGGGCTTCCCGTAGATCATCAATAGCGAGGTAGCCTGGATGAACATAAATTCTTATATTTTTTTTATATTGCGGTTCTTTTATTAATTAAGTTACTTCCAGATGCGGTGCACACTTTGACATGCGCCATTATGCTACTGAACACGGACTTGCACGGCGGCGGGAGCGCTTCCTTCAGACGAATGGCATGCGCCGAGTTCATCGACAACCTCGCCGATCTCAACGACGGCGACAACTTCCCGCGCGACACGCTCAAGTTACTCTACCACGCGATACGTACACAGCCTCTGCAGTGGGCACTGTGAGTACCCTCCATCTACGTCAACAACCTCAACGACGGCGACAACTTCCCGCCAGACACGCTTAAGTTGCTTGAACACGCGATAATGACGCAATTGATGCAGTGGGCGCTGTGAGTACCCTCCGTCTACTTCAACGACCTGAACGACGGCGACAACATCCCGCGCGACACGCTCAAGTTACTTTACCACGCGATACGGACGCAATCAGTGCACTGGGCGCTGTGATTACCCTCCGTCTACGTTAAAGACCGAAGCCGTCGTTGTGACGGCTACAACTTTCCGCGCGATACGCTGAAGTTGCTCTACCATGCGATACAGACGCAGCCACAGCAGTGAGCGCTATGAGTCTTCGTCAAGAACCTCGACGACGACAACTTTTTATTTAGGATACATTTTGCACGTTGGTGTTGTATCCTAGGGTTTATAATATCTTTATATTGTTTTAAACTTTCACATAGGTATTAGCGGAATTGCTACCATGTACCTTGTTTTTTGGGAGTCTCTAAAATCTTGTTGGATATTACAGTATATTCGTGAGAAAAATAACTATATAAATGTATCTATCTGAGCGTAAAAGTCGTTTATTGTTTTCCCTATTCCATAAGCGCCCAAACTTGCCTAAAAAAGTTTCTACCCCAAATATCGCAGCGTGCCTAAACAAGTTTTCGCTTCATGTAACCATATCCTTTTTGGCAGAGACGGCGAAGTACCTCCCACGGTGACGGGCGAGGGAGGCGTTGCGGGGGCGATAGTGGGGACAGGAGGGGGGGTAGTAGGCGGTAATCCCTTCCTCGACGTGCCCGACCAGGCGCGCGCCGTCGAGTACAAGAAGGGCTACGTCATGCGCAAGTGCTGCGTCGATGCCAACGGGAAGAAGAGTGCGTATATCTATACACAAACACCGTAACAACCCCTTCCTGGTCATTCCCGACCAGGGGGCCAAACGCCTAACAGGATTGCTATGGTTATACTAAATACTCAACATTTTATTGTTTTCCATAAGTTATACAAGATGTTACAAAAAAAATAAGCACAATCGTCGAGCACAATGTTATCACTATCGCTTCCGATTTCATTTTGATATTTCTGACCGCCGAAGGTTTTTAAATGCCTCGCGCACTTTTTTTTTTTTAATTTAAAAAAAAAACAGATTTGATTTACTGCCTCTAGATTTGTGTGTAGTTTTGATCGTTTCGCCCACTGTGGCCTGTGTGGCTGCGGCCGCCACGCATCTTGTGGGCACAAGATATGCACTTAATATTTACGCAAAATATGGACTTATGATTGATTTGGATACAGCTCCTTTCGGCCGACGCGGATGGAAGATGTTCTACTGTACACTGCGGGACCTAGTGCTGTACCTACACAAAGACGAACATGGATTTCGACGCAGTCAGATGTCAGACAATCTCCACAACGCTATTAGGTAGTAACGCTTATTATCAATTTACAGTATAGATATATCCTATGTACGAGTACCAAGCACGAATTATGACGGCTCCTTACAGTATCGTCATGGTCGAATTGTGTATGGAAGTAGCCAGTTTTTTTACGACCGGCTTGTTTCTCATGGAAAATGACGATGCGATACGATTTCGTAGCTGTCAAAATTCGTGTTTGGCCCGCTGTTTCGAAAACTATTGTTGGTAAACCTTGATGATATCATCTAATATTATCTCCTAATACGTAAATAATAAAAATAAAAACAAGTATAAAACGATATTGTGAAAGGATTTGTAATATTTTTTGTGCGATATGTGTGACCAAAGTAACAAGTGACAACCACAGATTAGGGAGAGTATGATACCGTATTCTTTCGCACCTTTTGCTGGTGTGTCACATGGCTAATCGTGACTGCTATGAATTAGATTGGTAGCAAGCAGTGTATCCTTATTTTTACGCTCTACGGGAGTGAGAGGGAGGGACTGCTGCAGTGTTGCCAGGTCCGATTTTTAAAAATCGGGAGGCGTTATAGAAAAAAGCAGTAGCAGCGGACAGTAGATGTAGAGGCGTACTTTTTCCGATTTACATATTAAAGGACAATAAAATGTTTCTCTCTCTCTCTCTCTCTCTAATACATTTATTAAATGGTAAAGCTATGCTTTGTACGTCCAAGTTACTGTGATCTTGTACCGCGAAATTCTTTTTCTTGTAATTAAATGAACTATGTTTGTTATAAAAATATACCCACTTGGAATTTTTTATGTACACTCTGAAAAACTAAATAGGACTCCCAACAATTTTCTTTAAAAATATTGTCTAATTCCTATTTTGATATTATTAATTTTTAGAATACATCACGCATTAGTAACGAAAGCAACAGATTATACGAAAAAACAGCATGTGTTCAGATTGCAGACTGCGGACCAAGCGGAATATTTATTTCAAACAAGGTAAGTGCCTATGCCGCTGAATGGCGACATTTTTATTATTGAAGTTATACTTCTTTAGCCGCGTTATGAAAAAATTATGAGAGTGAAATTTTAAGATGCGCGCGCATCACTGTAACACAAAAGTAACATAATGAAGTTAGCCGCGGGCGCGTTATGAAAAAATGATGAGAGTGAAATTTTAAGATGCGCGCGCAACACTGAAGTCGGCCGCTAAACCGCACATTACTCGTAAGTCTCGAAAAAAGCTTCCAACAAAATAGTAATAGGATCTCTTAGTCGCACATGTTGGGACGCCTCTGATCACTGTTTTCATATTTATAATATTTATCCACATGTTTCTAGTTTCTATATTCTTAACACGTGTTATAATTTTATACAAATGCGAAATTTATATGTGCTAATAAATTTTATTCAGTAGTGTTTTAAATTGAATATTTTGATTATTTATTAAATTTTTCAAATTAAAACTGAACTTTATTGACTGCGTTGACTATCCTTTTCCAATCCATATATTATCTTATTGTAATTAATTATCTGCATGCAATTAAAAACTATTTTTTAATAATTCCAAAAAGAAGTATAACTTCTCACGCGCGTACTTAAGTACAAGTTTTTATTAATCCTATTATGGTACGGTAATTTTGATCGCTGCCCTAATTTAGGGTCCATCTTTGTTGTGTGGAAATAATAGTGTGAATATTATGTCTCTTTCATTAGTCAAGAACGTATCGAAATCTAACTTACGGCCGTAATCAGATAAGGCAATTAACTTTTAAGATTGATTAAAGTTGACGCTGTCTCTTTCTATGCGATTACAAAAGAACGAGACAGCACATAACTTAATGAAGCATTAAATTATGTGACGTTTCTGAGTACGACCTTCCAACCAAATGTATATTAAGCAACTAAAATTATAATTGCTCAACTTCAAAGTTGATAAAAAATATCAATTCTCTTATCTACCAAAATGAAAGAAACAGCTAACCAAAGATGACTTTCAAAAGAGAAGGAATAGCTGACCACAAGACGACTTTGTACTTAAATTAATGTACCTCGTCTTTGATATATAATGAAACTAGTGGGTGCCCGCTACTTCGTCTGCGTGGAAATATTAGTTTCCCATACAAACTTCCACCCCTGATTTCACTCCATTGAAGGAGTCAAACTATTTCCATACCAAATTTCACTCAAATCGACTAAGCGGTTAAAGCGTGAAGAGGTAACAGACCGACAGACAGACACACTCTCGCAACTATACAAAATTAGTATGGATATTGTATGTTTCCACAGTGATTCTAAGGAGTTGTGCTCGTGGGTGGAGACGATAAACTTCGTATGCGCGGCGTACTCGGCGCCGCCTCTGGCCGGGGCTGTGGGCTCGCAGCGCAAGTTCCAACGACCGCTGCTGCCTTGTACACACACTAAACTATCCATGGTATGATATGACCGTTTAATAATGACTATAATATGACCCATAACAGTGATTCTAAAGAATTGTGCTCTTGGATGAAGACGATAAACTTCGTATCCGCGGCGTACTCGGCACCGCCATTGACCGGGGCCGTGGGCTCGCAGCGCAAGTTCCAACGACCGCTGCTGCCTTGTACACACTAAACTATCCATGGTATGATATGACCGTTTAATAATGGCTATAATATGACCCATAACAGTGATTCTAAGGAGTTGTGCTCGTGGATGGAGACGATAAACTCCGTATCCGCGGCGTACTCGGCGCCGCCTCTGGCTGGGGCCGTGGGCTCGCAACGCAAGTTCCAACGACCGCTGCTGCCTTGTACACACTAAACTATCCATGGTATAATATGACTTATAATGACTATAATATGACCCATAACAGTGATTCTAAGGAGTTGTGCTCGTGGATGGAGACGATAAACTTCGTATCCGCGGCGTACTCGGCGCCGCCTCTGGCTGGGGCCGTGGGCTCGCAGCGCAAGTTCCAACGACCGCTGCTGCCTTGTACACACTAAACTATCCATGGTATAATATGACTAATAATGACTATAATATGACCCATAACAGTGATTCTAAAGAATTGTGCTCTTGGATGGAGACGATAAACTTCGTATCCGTGGCGTACTCGGCGCCGCCTCTGGCCGGGGCCGTGGGCTCGCAGCGCAAGTTCCAACGACCGCTGCTGCCTTGTACACACTAAACTATCCATGGTATAATATGACCGTTTAGTTATAACTATAATATGACCCATAACAGTGATTCTAAGGAGTTGTGCTCGTGGATGGAGACGATAAACTTCGTATCCGCGGCGTACTCGGCGCCGCCTCTGACCTGGGCCGTGGGCTCGCAGCGCAAGTTCCAACGAACGCTGCTGCCTTGTAAACACGCTAAACTATCCATGTTATATGACCGTTTAATAATGGCAAAACATAACTGAAATTCATTACTTATTGTGTTATGGCTCAATTAGACTTGGTCGTTTGCCCGAATACGATTGCCTACGATAGAATAGGGGTGATCAGGGGGTACAGTAAACGAAATTCTATTTAGTCCGTCAGTTAGATGATCAAAAAATAATGGACACGTATTTTTTCTTTGGGCAATCAACCAAAAAATGACAAAGTTATAGCGCGTCAAAGTTTGGGAGTAGGGGCTCGTGACGTCACTTTTGAGTGAATTTTCACTTATAAGTGTACTCAAACGTGACGTCATGTGACTTTTCAAATCAATATATCTCTGCAATGTTTATATTATGTGAAAAAACAAAAAAATACGTGTCCAATACTTTTTGATACTCTACCTGATAAACGAAGAAAAGAAAATAGTCATCATCCCTATTCTGGTAAATGACTAATGGCTCAATTACATTTGGTATTTAGCCTGAATTCGGGTGCACGAAAAACATTACTCGAATTTGGGCACCCGAAGCAATATTTATCAAGGGTATTCCTTGATAAATATTGTTCGTTCATTTACACTTAGTCGTTTACCCGAATTCCATTGGCACTCGTATTTGGGCTAACAACCAAGTATAATGGCGCCATAAGTGTAAATGAACGGAGTCAAGTACGCCCGTATTCGGGTAGTTTTTGTTTTAGTTACCCGACACCGTCTTCCAGCCCGTATTCCAGTGTAAGTATTGCTTCGTGCACCCAATACGGGTTAACAACCGAGTGTAGTTGAGCCATTATAATCAGAATTACTACTTTTGTCTGTCGAATGGTTTACAGAACAGCTCCTTTGTTTTTTGTTTCTATCAACAAGTGCATTGCAAATACTGAGTAGATTTTTCTCCTGCTTGTTTTAGCGGGAACAAGTAGCGGAACACGAAGAGAGAGCGGCGAGACTGGAGGAAGAACTGGCGGCGTTACGGCACGCGAGGGACAACACGCCGCACGCGCGCGATAAGGAACATTACCTCGTTTATGAGGTGAGTTGTCTATACTAATATTATAAAGTGGTAGGAAAAAAATTTTTTTTTAATAAGTCAACTTCAATAAAGTTTTTTGAAGTTATACTTCATTAGCCGCGTTATGAAAAAATTATGAGAGTGAAATTTTAAGATGCGCGCGCATCACTGTAACACAAAAGTAACACCATGTAGACGGCCGCTAAACCGCACATTACTCGTAAGTCTCGAAAAAAAGCTTCCAACAAAATAGTAATAGGATCTCTTAGTCGCACATGTTGGGACGCTCGTCGCCTCTGATCACTGTTTTCATATTTATAATATTTATTATTTAATAAAACTGTAAGAATGTGCGGGAGGGCGAAGGGGGAGTGTGAGAAGACTGACGTCAAATAAAGATAGGCATAGGTAGAAAATACTTATATTGTGATTACTATTCAATATTTGTAGGAGAAATGGTATTACTGTATCCCACAAGGGTGGAAGTACATGTATACTATTATCAAGACACTAAGACGTCCCACGTGGTGGAAGCGTATAGCGTGCAAGACAATAGGCCCTACCTACGAAGCGATGACTTGATCAACTCCCAAGAACACCTTATACAAGTGGTGTCAGTATAGTATAGCGCGATTCACATGCGTACAGCGCCATCTAGTAACGGGCGGCGTGATGATATTTAATACTATGGTGGAACAAAAATAATGGTGGATTATTAACCACTTAGTGGTTAATAATCCACCATTATTAGACATCTGTTCGAAAGGTACTTTGAACAATCCACGGAGCTCCATAAGATGATCGCGTTGTCAAAAACAATGTTGGCACGCTCGTCGCCTCTGATCACTGTTTTCATATTTATAATATTTATCCACATGTTTCTAGTTTCTATATAGACACAACGTGTTTTAGTTACTTACAAGTGTTAATTACATATGGACTAATAACTTAAATTCAGTAGTGATTTTAATTGAATATTTTGAATATTTATTTAATTTTTCAAATTAAACCTGAACTTAATTGACTGTGTTAACTATCCTTTTCCAGTCCTTTTATTATTTTATTGTAATTATTAATTATTTGCATGCAATTAAAAAATATTTTTAATGATGATAAAGAAGTATAACTTCTCACGCGCGTACATAAGTTACACGCATCCATTTTTTTCATTTCATAAAGAGGTAAATCTTGTAGTTGTAATGTTTGTAGGAAGTGATTTTGGATTTACTGGAGCCGATTTTGAAAAAAAAACACCAATTCTAAAAAACAGGTTGTTTTCTAGGGGGTCTGCTGGAAGAAATTTCAATATGAAATAAACAGTGCCCTTGTACAAATTTCTCGTTCCTGTTCTTCTTATCTTTTTTATTGTGTGTATACTAAATTAATAAATAAAAAAGAGTTAAATTTTTTTGAGTTTGTAGGAAGTAGTAATCTCTGGAATAACAGAATTGATTTTGGTCTTTTTCATCAGTAGGATATCATAACTTTAAAATAAATTTCACCCATGCAAAACTCGGGCAAATCGATAGTGATATATATGAGCTTGTGTTTTACGAGAGTGTGACATAGAATGGATTTATTGTAATAAGCGCCAAAAATCCCTTGTTTAATTAATTGTTCAGTGGAGTGTCAGATAGGTTGATCTACAAAAATAGCTGTTTTTACCGAACAACCATTTGTCTGTGTTCAATACATTATCGTCAGTCTATTTATGTCCCGACTGCTGGGGCACAGGCCTTCCCTATAGGTGGAATAGAGATTTCGGGTCACCCACCAGGTGGGCGCAGTGCGGATTATAGTTTGACCGCTGTAAAGCCGACCCTCCCTTGATCTGCGGGCCGCGAGAGGGGGATGCACTCGATCAATCAATCAGTAGCTTGTCGGCTGCCGACAGCGATAGACGTTCAACGTCAGAGCTCGCGTGGTTGCAGCCTTGTCTCCACTATACATGAGATCAATTTACGGCTTTGCATATAACAATCATGGAATTACCGAGTCTACGTAATAAGAAGTCAAGCAAAGATTTAACTATTAATGTGACGAATTTAATAAATATATTATTTTATATTTCAATATATTTTTCCTTCTTATATAATATTTATGGCACACAGGTACATATTACAAAGGGAAAGGAGTAACAAATTATTACATTGATTCATTCGTAATACTAATATAATGCGATTCAACTAAGAATAGGGCCGAATAGGCGCCATAATGTTACGTCATAGCTGTCAATTCAAACCAATTAGGTAGAGTGAGCAAAAAAAGATGTTATTTAATAAAACTGATTAACTAAGATTAAGTGAGAAAAAACATCAGTTTTTTTTAATAAAAAATATTTACTAAGATTGAAAAAAAAAATGATCGATTTTTAATAATATTTATTTATTAAGACTGTGAGAAAAAATATTAATCAGAATCTAGCTCTTCATTTCCGCTTATCGCATTATAGGTCACATACGAACATGCATCCTTTATTACATAAAAACGAAAATTTAAATCGAGTTTCTGAACGCAACTTAAAGTGACATTTGGGTGACGACTTAGTTTATCAACCATTCATAGCCAAAGCTTAATAAATGAAAAATAAAAACCAATATTAATTATCAATATTTGTTATTGTTTGTAAAATTCTTTTTTTTTATTCTAGAATTAGATGAATGCTAAAAAGGGTTCTAAGATTTTTTTGCAAACCGTACTTTTCATGCCACATTGGACAGGTGGAGGTCATTGGCTTTCCTATTCTTATTTGAATGGCACATTACAAACACCAACACTTTTCGAAATAACAATACGAAGATTTAAATATCATGCGATATCTCGCCACATTGGCAATGTCATGTGTACTCATGCACCCCCGGCGCCCCGCGTCCTGCAGATCATCGGGAGGCAACGGCTTTACAGCGGTCAAGCTATAGTGGGTGGGAACGACTGCAGGTGTAGCCGGGACCAACGGCTTAAGGTGCCTTCCGAAGCACGGAAGAGGTCGAGATAGTAAATGTTTTGGTCACCCTTCCAATGACAGATCACTGCGAAAGTTGCTTTAAGTCAATAATCGCAGTCGAACGCGCTGACCATTTGCGCCGTCGAGCTCCTCGAGTGTTATGATGTGCTTTTATGGAAAAGAATGGATTTACTATAATTAACTTTTATATAACCTTGATTGTTAAATGTAGTGTCAGGCAGGTTGATCTACAAAAATATCTGTTTTTACTTAAAACATCTCTTTGGTGCACAGTTTATGGATGCAGTAAAGGTCACTCTTTTTAAAACTTACTGCCAATCATTCTATACATGCAGTCTTAGGACCAACTATACGCAGCGGGCATACAGCGACCTGCGCATGCAATATAACAATGCCTTCAGGATAATGTTGAGACTATCGTGGAGTTGCAGCGCGTCAAAAATGTTCGGCGCATACGGACGACTTTTATGCCATCATAACTTTTACCTACTACTGCAAAATTTTTGGAAAAGGTTATGAACAACAGGCTGGTGAATTATCTTGAAAGTAATAATATTATATCTGATAATCAATATGGATTTAGGAAGAAAAAATCTACTTTGGACGCTATTGAAAATTTAGTAACTAATGTGGCACAAAATCTTGACAGTAAAAACAAATGCATAGGTATATTTCTTGATATGTCAAAAGCATTTGACACGGTGTCAATTCCATTGCTGATTCGTAAGTTAGAGTCAATTGGTATAAGAGGTTTGCCTCTTAATCTTTTCAAGGATTATCTGTCTAATAGGTCACAGACGGTAAGGATAGGGGATTACTTAAGCTCCAAACTAAAAATAGATTTCGGTGTTCCGCAAGGTTCGGTACTCGGCCCAACGTTATTCTTAATATACGTGAATAATTTGTGTGATATAAAAATCCCAAACTCAAAAGTGATCACATTTGCTGATGACACTGTTATTTTATTTCAACAGAAAACATGGTCCAAAGTTAAAGCATCAGCTGAGGCAGGCTTTCGTAGTGTAATAAAATGGCTTGAGCATAATTTGCTTACCCTTAACCTAAGTAAAACAAAATACTTAAGTTTTAGTATAAGAGAAAACTTGCAACCTACCTCTGATTTTATTTTAAAAGCGCATTCTTCTAGCTGTATTAGTGATGCAAATGAGTGTGAGTGCGTTGAATTGTATAAAACTAGTAGTATTAAATACCTAGGAGTAGAAATTGATAAAAAATTAAATTGGAAACAACATATCAGTAACTTAAGATCTCGCCTTCGTAAGCTAATACCTGTATTCAAAAAAATCAGAAATTTGAGAGATGATAAAACCAACAGGGCAGTGTACTTAACATTGTGTCAATCTATTACTAACTATGGCATTTCAGTCTGGGGTGGAGCCAAAAAGAGCACTCTTATAAAGATAGAAAGGGCTCAAAGGTGCATTTTGAAGGTTATGGGTTTTAAGTGCTTCAGGTATCCAACTGCTAAGTTGTATAATGAATGGAAATTTTTGACTGTGCGTCAACTCTTTGTAAAAAGCATTTCTTTGAAACAACATGGCTGTAATAAAAATAATAAAGCATCTGCCAGGCGTTCGTACATGATATTTGACATCCCCGTTTGTAGGACTACATTTGCACATAGTTTTTCGTATTTCCTGGCCCCGCTAATATACAATCGCATATGTAAAACTAGGACTATAAATAATCTAACTAGATTTCAATGTGGAAAGGCTTTAGATGAGTATTTCAGTAGTATGGATTATGAACGGACTGAACAATTATTGCAAGTAAACTAATTTTTATTTAATATTTTATCTTCATTTTGAATAAAAAAGTATAAAAATATATATATATAGTTATTGTTATTTGTTATATATTGTACAAACATAGCTATAGTATATTATGTGTTATATTGATTAAGGATATACTCTATATTTAAATATATATTTAATCTTATACATATGGTTGTATAGAAATATGTTTTAATACGATTTATTGTTATAAAATTCATAAAATCCATACATTGTTATTGTCAAAATGTTGAATGCATTATATTATGTTATGTTTTTTAGTTTCCATTGGATCAACATAGTTTCATTGTAATAAACTCCTTTGTTTGTTTGTTATTTGTAAAATGTAGTTAATTTTCTGTTTTTTTTTTTGCTTTATCTGATTGTTTTGCGTTTACTACATGTTTAAGTAAAACCTGTTATTCCTTATCGTAAGTAATATTGTATTGCTAGAACTGTAGAATAATAGTAAAAATCCTTAAGTCAATTAAGTTAAAGTTAGTTTTTCTGGTGCGAGAATCCTGCCTTGCCGTAACACAGTGTTAACTAGCTCGGAAGGTAAAGAATGTTTGTCTCGTATACCTACCCACACATAAAATAATTTTCTATGAGTATTAACTAAGCAGCTTTTCTTTTAATTATTTACTGTTAATATTGAGCATAATCACGAAAAGTGCTTAATTCCATATAGTTAACATGTTTTAACGTGAGTGTGTGTGTTGTGCGTGGAAATTACATAATATGTAAGTGGTAGCTCAATATTGTAACTATTACTTATTATCAATTGGGAATTTAATCGCTATGTGTTTTGAGTCTGGGGAAACACGGATAAAAAGATTTTTTATTTTGTTTTCTTTAGATTTAAACTTATGTTTTCTCAGAAAACTAGTACTAGTTATTAATAGCTTAAGGTTTAGGTTTATTGCCAACCAAGGTATACTGTAACACATGTTTATGAATAAAATTCTATTCTATTCTATAAGAAAGAGGTCCGCCTCCATGCTCACTAGGCTCCTCTCTAGTACCAACAGCCTTCTGAGAGTATTTAATGACCAGTGGGACACTCCTCTGCTACGATACTGGGTGAAGCTCCATATCCTATAATAATATTTTATGTAATTCTCTATTATATTTACATAATGTAACTAACACTGTGGAATCTAGTTTTGAAACAAATAATTTGAATTGAATTTGTCTGTGTTCAATAATAGTTGATAACGCACCTCGGTTGCAGATAAAGCGGTACCGCACGTACGCGTACGTGATGCGCGCGCGGGCGGGCGGCGCGGGCGCGGAGGAGGCGGCGCCCGCCCTGCCCGAGCGGCCGCCCGCCCTGCCCTCCCTGCCCGCCCACCACGCGCCCGCCCCCGCCCCGCCGCCCTGACGCGCCATGGCGGTGTTCGCCGCCTGCGTGCTGTGACGCGTCACGCGCCAAGCGACGTGCGTGCTACTGATCAACAAACTGAGCGTGAGCGCCTGCTGCGTGCGTTCTGTGATACAATAGTGATTACTTCGAGTCAGTGCTTCGTGTTTAATAACGGCTGCTGTGCCCACTCTATTCGCCCTACCACTGATAAAAATTGAGCGCCCGCAAGCATAGTGATACAACAGTTAATAATCTCGCCAATTCCGTTGCCCTGACGCGCCATGGCGGTGTACGCCGCCTGCGTGCCAAGCGACTACTGATCAACAAACTGAGTGTGAGCGCCTGCTGCGTGCGTGCTGTGATACAATAGTGATTACGAGTGAGTGATTCGTGTAAAATAAAGGCTCGCGGCCGCCTGCTGTGCCCACTGTATTCGCCCTACCACTGAAAAAAATTGAGCGCCCACAAGCATAGTGATACAACAGTCAATAGTCAGTGCTGGATTAAAATACCTTCGCCACTTCCATCGCCGTGACGAGCCATGGCGGTGTTCGCCGCCTGCGTGCTGTGACGCGTGCCAAGCGACGTGCATGCTACTGATCAACAAACTGAGTGTGAGCGTCTGCTGCGTGCGTGCTGTGATACAATAGTGATTATTTCGAGTCAGTGCTTCGTGTAAAATAACGGCTCGTGGCCGCCTCGGTGTGCAGTGCCCACTCTATTCGTCCTACCACTGATACAAACTGAACCTTCGCATGATGAGTAACAGTAAGACAAGAGTCAATAGTGCTCTTATGAAATGCCCTCGCCGCTCTAACGCGCCTTGTCGGTGTCCGCCGCCTACGTGCTGTGACGCGTGGTCTGCGACTATTGATACAAAACTGACCGCCTGCTACGTGCATGCTATGGGTCGCGGCCGACTCGGTGTGCTGAGACGCTTACGTGTGCTATACCCGCTCTCCTAGCTAATCACTGATACAAACTAAGCGCCCGTATACACAGTGAAACAATAGTGAATAGACAGTGCTGGAATGAATTACCTGACAAGCCATGGCGATTTTCGCCGCCCCGATCAAAGAGCGCTACACACGTACGTACTGTGATACGGTGACAACAATAACCAGTGCGCGCATACTGTGTTCACCCTAAGGCGAGCGCCTGACACTGCTCACGCCACTACTCATATACGTACACACTGAAACAAACTTTATGATACTGCTGTGGTTAAGGTGAAACAAAAGTGATTTTAAATCAATGCTGCTATATGAAGTAACTACCGCAGCCGCCTCGACGCTGCATAGCAATCTTCATTGCCTGCATGCTGTGAAGCAAGATGCCTTGCCATGCTAATTCCGGAGCCTCACTACTAATACACAAATTGAGTGTCTGTGTGCTGTGATTGTAGAAAACAGAATAAGAAAAGTGAATACTCTGAGTCACATTTCATATGAAAATGCAGCCACATCATAGCTGCCATGCATGACACGCGAAGTGCTGTGAAACATCGTCTTCCAAGACGAAGCGACGCTCTGCTTACTGTTCTAGTGATACAGTGAAAATGCAAATTGATAGTTATCAGTGCTTCTTTACCCACATCTCAGGATGTGTGATAAGAGAAACCTACATATTTCAACAGTCAGTACAGACAGTGATAAAACTGTACAGAAAACAATATTTTTTACCTGCATGTTATGAGTGAAGTATAAAATGCAGTAAATTAAAGTTATCAAACACTAATTAGTTAACTGTGACCATTACATACAATGAAATGAATCTGGATACTATATCAATGTTACATCACCTGGAGGAAACTATTATTTGTTAGCCTTTGATTGTGCCTTGAGCATGCTCTGAATCAATGTTTCACCAAGCTAAAGTTCAGTAAGGAAAATGGGTATAGGTGCGATTTTTGCTGATTTACCTCCAATAACCGATCCAACACAAAATTTGCAGTAGTACTAGAAATACTGGCGTTTGGCGTATTGTCCACCAAAATAAATTAAGAGCATGATAAGGCAAAACTGTTGTCAAGCTGCTTGCATGACTAAATGCAGTAAAGAGTGCTTCCTCTACCATTAGTAGATACTTGGATAGCTGAACTAAGACCAGTCCGTCTATTATAGGTAACAGTGTAATCTATAATAAAATACAATGAGTAGTCTTTGTTAACTCATGCTGACAGTGAAGATGTCTATTAGCTACAAGTGCTGTTAGACAGTAATACCCAAGATACAACTTATACGAGTGACTGTGAGTGTCGTGAGTTTTCATCAGTCCCCCCCCCCCCCCCCCCCCCCCCCCAAGTGCACCTATTCTGAGTTTGCATTGCTAATAATGCGAGATTGTGATAGTTTCATTAAGGTGATTTTACTAAAAATGACCACAAACCAGAACAGACATACTAACTGAAAATCTTACAATTATGTATAAATTAAGGGTTTAATAATGATGATGCTACGGCCTAATGTTGTAAGAGCACCCACACAAGCTTCATTCGAAGACTGATTGCAGATGACATTCCAAAATTGATACTAGGCACTTCCTAGTAAAGGCAATGCTCTTACAAATAAAGACATTATTTAGTGTAGTTAGTTTATGAGTTAGAATAACATTAAATATTGATTCATCTAGTCCTGTCTTCCTTGCGATATACCTATTGCTGTTGGATTTTCACTGTCCACATTGTGATTATATTGAGTATTCAATATTATGCTTCGCTTCCGATGGCTATCAATGATATTTAATCAAAATATGGTGATATGTTTTGACATATTGTAATACTCAAATCCTTGGTGAATTATGATTAATACCTATGTATTGCTTTGGTATTTAAATAAAATTTTCAGTATAGGTTTGTTAGCTATGATGAAGTGAAATTATTTATTAAAAGTATTTAAAATAAATGTATAAATTGCTTCATTATATAATGAGTATCAGTCAAACTGAGGAGTTGCTTTAATATCTGATATATTTCAGTGAAATGTTGGTTTGATATTGCAACTAAAAAGTATTAATCATTCCATTAATCTTTTTGTATTAAGGCATACAAACAAAGCGTAGGAAAGTGGGACAGATGGCTAGATTTAGCTGTTGAACCATCACACATTAAAACACAATATTGACTCTTGTATATTATTTGACAACAGCTGAATTTACAATATTTGTAAATACATTTTAAAGAGACTGATATGTGAAGTTATTTATTTTCTTTGTAAATCAACCAGTGTCAAATGTTAGGCATTGATAGTAAGTCATTACTCATCATGTCTTTAGGATCTCATTGTAATTAATAGCTGTGTAATTAAATGTTTCCTGTCAAAATCTATGAAATAAGTTTTGTCATGTATGAGATATTATTATCACATTTTGAACAGTTATTGATGTTTGAAATAAAACTTTTTTTGTAATTACTTTCTAAAATACACTGGTATTCTCCTCACAGAAAAGCTGTTATAATCTGTATTACTTTCTTATAATAAAATCCATCATGTAAATAATAAAACTGATATATTTTTTCAAATCTTTTTTTCCTCTTTTTTTATTTATATTTACTAATTTATTTTTATAATTAATTGCAGGTTCATCTTTATTACCTATTTAATCATTATTTTGACCTCTATTTAAAAGGAAATGAAGCTTATAGGCAAAGTACAGTACATTTATTTGTAAATGCTGTTGTAAACGTTTCTGTAAAGTTATTGTATATTTGTAACCTAACAAAATTCTTTTAACCAATATTAGCATAGGAGTCTTTACACATTGCGGCACGGCGGCCGGCGAAACTTCGTTTTCTAGCATATAACGTGATAGCCAGCGTTGCATAAGGTCCGGTAATCCGGTAGAGTTACGCGACTGACTACATATTACACTGCCACCGCCACGGTATAGTGTGTCTGAAATACTGTGAAGGCTCTAAACAGTGACGTAGCAAGGGTCTAGGCCGGCCAGGGTGGAGGTAAACTGTTGTAAAATTTTGTGGCTCATTTTTTTCTTTAGCATTTTCCTCGCCCGTCACAACTGGAATATGTTTTAAAACACTAAAATTTGCTACCTCCATAAAAGTACCGCTTCCACCACGCTACCTCACTGGCTCTAAAAACAAGTTTTATTTACTTTAAGTCTGTTGTGTTATGATTATAATAAAATGTGTGGCTTTTATTCTTAATCTCATAAGGCCAAATTGATTAACATGAAACTAAAGTTTTACATCATTTTTCAATATTAAATTGTTTTAGGTAAAGCCAATCAATGTAAATACATTATTTTTATCTGTTGTTTTCAATTTATATTATTTACTTAAATGTAACGCTTGGAGATATGTGTTTTCTTATAACCATGCCTTATAAACTTGACTTTAAAACTTCTGTTATGATAATAAAGAAGTACGAAACAGCTTTACTTCTATGATTTATGCAAATCAGTAGCTTGATTAATGTAGAATGATTTCAATATTAACATTATATTATGGATGATGCAATATGCCACAGGAGGGTGTAGACATATCGCACCTTTAGAAATGAAGTGACATAAATAAAAAAAAATGCAAAATGACTTTTAAACGTGAAACGACATAAAAACATGGATAGTATCAGTTTATTAATAATAAACAGGCTCTTTTAGGCCAGAAGAAGGCAAACGTACTATTTCCGCCTCTTTTAAATGACACGCATACCGCGCCTCCCTCAGTATTGAAATACCCTATTCAGTGTTGCGTGGACATTTATTTCATTTTCCTTTAATTTAGAAAACCATTCATTATTAAACTAGCATATTACAAAATTGGTCATCTGTCAAATATATAACATCAGAAATGAATCGCCTCTATATTAAATAGTTACGTTTTTGTTTTATGTTGTTTAGTAAAAAATGGGCACAAAGTGAAATAAGCCAATTATAATAAACTGTTTTCGGAAAATAAGTGTCATGTTTTTTTTTTGATGAATAATTAACTAAGGTTCTAATTAGTTATGCAGACTGGTTTAGTAAACAATCGTGAAAATAATTCCTATCCTACCATTAACAATAAAAAATATGATAATAAACGTATAACTTATGGCATTCTATTAAAAAAACAAAAAAATGGCCAACTTGTCAATCACATTTTTAGCGTTTACCAAAAAACAAGAATTTTGGATTAGGTCACTTCAATTCTAAAGGTGCGATATGCTATGTAGTCTATTGTGAACGCTTACCATCAAGAGTCCTTTTGAAATAATAATTTATACATGAGTGCTACAATAGTAACAAATGCGTTTGTCTGTTTTGGTTTCACCTATAAGCCTTATTATGTTTTGGAAAGAGAAATTTATAGCATTTATCTATCGCCATTACGAAGTTAGGACAATGAGGTATTGATGGCAATAATTTGTTCAAAGTTGTCAATAGGTACACGTCTTGGCTCAATAGCTCATTTGAACTCCTAAGTGTTTTCAATATACAAATGTAACCAAAAGTTAGTTTTTGTTATTAATCGCCATCGGGATGGTAAAACGCACACTATCCCCCACTGTAAGTCTGTTGGCAAACAAATAACATAGCTACATAAAGTTCTAGTCCCGTCTGCTGTCTGGTCCGCATGTATTTTTTTATTAGTAACGTTTTCTTTAGATTTAAACATAACAGCAGTAAAATAATTCAAAAATAAAAATATAACTACAGTTACATAATTTAAACAATCTTACCAGCACAGCTTTATTGAGACTATTTCGTAATAACTGACTACCAGTGAATCAAGTTTTCACAAACTCAAATTTTCTCCTTAGGTTGTGAATTGTATGTCAATCAAATTTAAGCACAAAGTTATTTGGATAAATTTGGTTATCTTATATTTGTGTTACTTTTATCATACCTTGTTAATACAAAGTTGATATAATACACAAATTCTCCGCTAGACATGCAAAATTTAGTTCAAAGCATTTGAAACTACTTAGATGTACAAAAAAAAAAAGATTTTGTTAAGCTCTCAAAAGCTGAAATTAATAAATACAGCAAAACTATTTTCTACATTTTATTTATAACCTTAGATCTTACATATGAGTTTATAACATCGATAATGTTATATCAAGAGTGTGTACCAAATTTGTAATCAGTATTTTTTTGAAGAGGCCTCTGCAAAGGATGAGCTAGTAGTTTTGCTATGCAATCATGAATTTTTGTAGCATTGCTTGATACCTCAAATACATATGAATAACCATTGTCCAAGTCCTGGAGAGCATCATAAATTTCTTCACATTTATATAGTGCACAATCTTCTTCATGTGTAAGTAATATATCAATAAAGAAGTATAATTGTTTCTTAAGAAAATTAAAATACACATCATCCTGTGGTATAAGAGGTAAGCAAACTGAACGCCCATACAGAACAATCATACGAACAACATATGGAGGGGGCATTATGCACTCTCCCTGCCTAAATTCTGGTATATCCACTTTTTCCTTTAATACTTGAAATACTTTCTTAAAATCATAATTTTCAGTGGTACTTTCTTCAGCATTAAGATAATCTATCACATTTACAATATCTTTTATGTTGTTTGTGAAATTCTGAACCCAACATGCTTCAGTGTCTTTTAATAGCAGTAGTGCATACTCTGTTTTCTTATTTATGGCATTTTTTGAATGCAGAAAAAAATCTAAAATCCTTTTTAGCATGTTTAATGGTGTAAATGTTGAGCCATCACCTAAACGATATAAAGTGTTGTTATCATCATAACATAGATCTAAACATATGATGATACGCTCCGGTATGTTTACATTTGGGATATTTGGTTTCTGAAAGTTTGCGATAACTTCATCTTGCAATTTTTTTATATCATCTGATGGATTTTCAGCATTCCTAAAATAAATACAAAATCAGTATAAAAATTAAAAAGTACAAAAGATGATTACTACACAGTTTACATGAGGCGATTTAAGTTTATCAACTGCTAAATCACATGCGATTTTAACTGTTTGAATAGATTTTTAATCAAATTGAAAAGCAATTACAATATGTTAAAAGTTGAGCTAATTTTTATTCGCAATAAGTGAACATAATGTCTGATATTAGCAAATCTAAAGCAAACTATTTAACCATTAAGTACCGGCGTGCCTTTTTTGTAACATTAGTACCCAAATGAGGCCTAAGAGGCCGCGTATATAATATCGAATATTATAAAGAAAGTGATGAGTTGAATATTTGTCCTCCCATTATGAAGTATAATAAAGGGTTTTAAGAAAAAATAAGTATAGAAAAAAAAACTTTGAATACATTTTTGAATATATAATACGATTCAAATAAGAATAGGAAAGCCAATGACCTCCATCTGTCAAATGTCGCTTGAAACGTACGGTTTGCAAAAAAATCTCGGAACACTTTTTTAGCACTCAGCTGATTCTAGAATAAAAACCAATTATTCATAACTTCTCCGGCAGTAATGCAGAGATGAGCGAAATTGAAGAGCTAGATTCTGATAATGTTTTTTTTCGCACAGTCTTAATAAAGAAATACTATTAAAGATTGGTTGTATTCTTTCTCAACCTTAGTAAATTAATTTTAATAAAAAATCTGATGTTTTGTCTCGCTTAATCTTAGTAAATAAGTTTTATTAAATAGCAACATTTTTTTGCTCACTCTACCTATTTGGTTTGAATTGACAGCTATGACGTCAAAATATGGCGCCCAGTCGGTCCTATTTTTAGTTGAATCGCATTATACACTACAATAATATTTGGCTTGAATTTTGGGGAGAAATTAGACTATTCAATTTAAAAACTTATGTTTCTCTAGTACTCAATGTGCAATATCACTATGTTTAGTACCGTGAGTCAGAGATGACTGCTATCACCCAGCAATTAATATAGATGTATTATTATAAGATCTACACATATCACCGGTAATGGAAAAAAAAATACCAACTTTCACAGATGTAATTATACTGAAATAAATAACTATTTGACCAAGGTTGACTGGAGTGAGTTATTATCTTGTTATAAAATAAAACTTGCTTAAAACAATTTATCAGCACTTCCGAAAACCTTATTAAAAAATCACCTAAATTGTTCTCGAAATACATTAAAAGTAAAAGGGGGGACACTAACACTGGATTCTAATTATCATGTTAATAATGATTGTTTGTAAGTACCGAATTAATTTGGATAGAGACAAAGTTATAAGATTACTAAAGACTGTGGAGAAAAACAAAAGTGCTGGCTGTGATGGGATTCCATCATTGTTCCTGGCCTCTTGTGCTGATAGCCTTTACCTTCCAATTACAATATTATTTAAAAGGTCCCTTCAAGAATGTATTTTTTCTGATATTTGGAAACAGGCCCAAATAATTCCAATCCATAAAAAAGGATTGAAGTCTTTGATTACAAATTATCGTCCTATCTCTATCCTCAACACCATTGTGGCAATATTTGAGAAGCTGGTATACAAATTTATTTATGTAACTATTGCTAGATATATCTCTCAAACACAACACGGACCGAGTTAGGAATCCGTATTGTGTGGAGAAAGCGGTCAACTAACAAGTCAAGTACCTGGGGGCCTCTCAAACGGCAAGTCGGTACTTAAAGGTTAATAAGGTACGTATTTATAATAAATAAGTTGATTGTCTTAATAGGTAGGGACTGCCTACATTGGCATAGCGCAAAAAAGCCCTATGCTACGTTGTGTGCTGTCGCGGGCGAGGCCGCGCCGCGCAGGGTTGCCAAACGTATGAGCTAAAATATTAGCAGAAGACAGCACCTTAAGGCAAAAAGGACAGCAGTAGGCACGATGCACTCAATAACAAGCTGAGCAAAGTAGGCGTAGGAATGGAAAGGGCAGAAATTATTTCAAATGCAAATATGTTACCTGGAATCAGATTCAAATTTTGTTGGTGATGTTAGTATGTCTCGTGTATCCATTTTCCGCAATAAGTATCGGCAACTTGACTTGATTGTTAAATGATTTTTATTCGGTGCTGCTTTGTTTGCGTTTTCCGTCTTTTACATTATTACAAGAAATAACAAAACCTTAGAAAACAAAGCTAAATTCAAAAGCAAATCATGTCAAAATCAAAACACAAGAGCTACGTTCTACACTACGCACCAGGTGCAACAAATGTCAAATTTGACATTGGGTTCATACATAAAAAGTATTTCAAAATTGAATTTAGTAGCTAAAGAAGTTGGGTTCTGAGCGTAGGTTTTGAACGAAGCCATGTAGTACAGACTACACAGGGTCACAACTAATTTTTTCCTGATTATGGAAGGCAAAGGGTAAGTAGTTTTAACTACGTACATGTTAGTTTTTTTCTTAAGTAAATTAATTTTAATACTTGTTTTATTTTTATTATCATTAAGAAAAGTTATATCATACAAATAATAATATAATTATAGTGTACTTATTCGCCACTTAACTCGCCATTTGTGGCGTAACATGGAATTAATCAGATCGTTACGTATAGGATCGCTGAGCTTGAGTAAAAACGTATGTTTTCGTTTTATTCAATCTTTTTGCAATATTGATAAAAATAAAAATAAAATACCTAGATGGGACTCGTATTTGATTAAATAGGATTTTTTGATAACTGGTTGACTTTTCGCGTGTTGACACGGCCATCATATCGTGCCGGGACTATAAGGTGGCTAAGGCACGTAAAAATTTTACTCACTGTACTGAAAGTCTGAGGACTGATTCCTACGTATATTGTAGAGAATATTGTAAACAAATTGAAATTAATATTGCCAGACATTTTATCAGCAGTTTTTATGGCCAGCCACGTTTAATGTCCAAAGGAGCAGCAGCAAAAAGGCAAAAGCAGTTGTATGTACATCCCAAGGAACTTTTATACTAAAAGTTCCTTGGTACATCCATCTTACTCAAAGGGTACGGCCAGAGTGCACTCAGATTCAGATTCAGATTCCGAAAACAAGCGCGAGAAATAAACAGTGTAGTCGAAGGGTGCGGCCAGAGTGCACTCAGATTTAGATTCAGATTCAGATTCTGAAAACAAGCGCGAGAAATAAACAGTGTAGTCTAAGCAGGTTGCTTGCTTTTTCTCGCGATTTGTTTTCTGAGTCTGAATCTGAATCAGGAGTGCACTCTGGCCGTACCCTTCGACTACACTGTTTATTTCTCTCTATTCAGATTCAGACTCAGAAAACAAAGCTCGAGAAAAAGCAGGCAACCTGCTTAGACTACACTGTTTATTTCTCGCGCTTGTTTTCGGAATCTGAATCTGAATCTGAGTGCACTCTGGCCGCACCCAAAGACATCCATGGTGTAATCATCATTACGTATCGTGTTGCGGCGACACGACACGCCTTACAATTATCTCTAATCATAGTAAATGTATGAAACCGATATGCTTCTGGCGCGTAATGAGTCACGACATGTAAATACGTTTCTGGCTTTTCATATAGAGCAAATCTGAAGCGTTCAGTAATCCGCTAAAGACACGGGGCGAGTTTACAAGTCAGAGAGTTTGGTAGTAGCTTGTAAAGTCGCCCCGTATCATCGAGTAGCAGATGGTGAAAAAGCCTAGGCCAGGGGGGGAGTTCCAAGCTGCAAGTAAACTCACTGGCTTGTAGCTTGTAAACCCGCCCCGTGTCATTGAGGCTTAAGGTCTGTAAATCTGTTTGCTCGGAGTGTATTTTGACCGATGACAAAAAATAATCTGGTTATCTGTTATGCTGTGGGGTTTGTTTTTGTTTGAGGTTAAAAATTAATCTACGGTTACGCGAGGCGTTCGGTAAAAGCAATTTGCTCAGATTAATCTGTGATCACGTGACCAAATCGTCGCCAAGATCGCCTTCTCTGAATAATTATGATACTTATTCGGAGATCGTCTCTGCGATGCAAGTACCGAACGTAGCTATTCATATCATCACATAAATGTCTGTTATCTGTGCATGTCATTTACACTGGTCCTTGCACATGACCTAAAGGTCTTTGTTACCAGGTCATAAAATAATAAAAAAAAGGTCCTTGCACTCACAGAACATTCTGCACTGTGTATTTGACAGGCTGCAATTGACACAAACGACTGTCATTTTCATATTGCTAAAGTTCGAAGTGAAGAGTAGAACGTGTTCATTTATAAAAAATAACATATTTCGATTAGATTTTAAATAGTATCCAATAAGTACATGCAATGGATTACAATTACGAGCAAACAAGTGAAGTTGAAGCTTTAGATTCAATCTACTATGGAGATATGCAAAGTATGTAGTAATAGTAACCATTTAATTCTGTCTGAATAAAGAATGTCTCTTGATTTGATTAAAAATATACAACAATAATGTTTCCTTGCAGTTATAGAAAAGGAGCCTTTTCATAAATTCTCTATACCTATAAAATCTGAGGGTTTTGATGATGGTGAAGGTTTAGCTTGTCAATTAATTTTTACATACACATCAAAATATCCAGATGAATTACCCTTAATTGAAATCGACAATGAAGAGAATTTTGATGATATTGTAGATAGAAAAGAACTACTTTCACATTTAGAAGACCAGGTAGACATTTATTTATTTTATTTTAAGCAGGTTTACATCATTCAAATATTAAATAAAAATATGGATTAATTCGACTATTGCGGGGTTATCTTCTCATTTTAAGTCTGCCTCTCTTTCTTTCCTTTATAGCTTTAAAACCAAATGTCCACATAACACAATTATTCTTTTTCACAGAAGTGAAAGGAAAGCGACTTTGGCAGAAAAAGACAATTAAGCTCTGGGTTATTAGTAAATATAGGTTAAATATAAGTAACTTACAATATTTTACATTTTATATTTCAAAGGGCAAGGAGAATCTAGGAATGGTGATGGTGTTCACTCTTGTCTCAGCTGGCCAAGAATGGCTCAATGAGAAATGGGATAAAATCAAAAAAGAAAGAGAAGAAAAAATTCTTGCAAAAATTAAAGCTGATGAAGAAGCAGAATTGGTTAGTTTGATATACTTTTTATCTTATATTTATTTTAAAACTTAAGTATAAAATTTTTGTTCTTTTTTTGCAGAAAAGGTTTGAAGGTACAAGAGTAACTGTTGAATCTTTCCTGGCGTGGCGAAAGCAATTTGAAATTGATATGGGTATTCCAGCAAAAAGGGAAAGGGAAATGAAGGATAAAAACAAATTGACTGGAAAAGAACTATTCTTAAGGGATACTACACTCAATGAGTCTGATCTTAAATTCTTGGATGATGGTAAATGGACTGTACTTTTTTTGTATGTAAATAAGGTGGCAATGATCCATATGGCCTGCCGGATAATAGCTAAGGTACCACCATAGCCTATAGACTCTTGTGATATAAAAAATATCACTCAGGCATTGATTTCCTTTAATGTAATAAGTTCTAAAAGTGTTGCTGTTGTTTTAGGGGATGCAGTCAAAGTTGATGAATCTCTATTCCAAGACTTGGATGACTTGGATATATCTGATGAAGATGATGCTGATTATGTTCCAGGACAAAGTGGTAGTGAAAGTGATTAACACAGGAAATCGAGCTGCTCAAATGGGTGGCCATGATATATACTGACATTGCAGTGCTCATACAGGTTTCAGTTGAATTGTGTATATTGTATGGGTTTTAATTGATTTGTTTTATTACAAATACAAAGTTCTATTAATACTGCTAATTCATAGGTCATGTTTTGGTAGATTATCTCTTGATGTCGCCACTGTTGGGTTCAGGGATGTCCCTATAGATAGGAATATGGAGAACTGGAAAAAAACACCCCTCCAGGGCTGAGTGTGGTGTGGTGGGTGCTAATAACTGCAAATGCTGCAGGGCGCAGCCGATCAGCTTAACATTCCTTCTGAAGCACAAAGGAGCTAGATAATAATTTTCGTCACCCTTCTTATAACTGTCTTTTGCGAAAATTGCATAACTATTCGAATCATAGATCAAATGCATTAACCTCTGTGCCATTAAGGTTCTCAATAGTGTTTAGTTATTTTTGCATTTTGTATAAAATTAATTATCTATTTGTAATACATGCATAATCGTAAAGCAGTGTAGCAAGATCAGAGTGGTATTGTTAAGAATACTCGCTTAATCATAGCATTTGAATTATTGTGTCAGTATTTTCAAGTCGCTATACATCCTGAATACCCAACCACGGAGGTTGAGAATGAGAATCCCTCTCGCAGACCTAGTGTTGGATGCAGTTTCAATTTTTGTACTTATCCATAATTTTGATTGTTCCTTTTAGTGTCATTAAGAAATCCAAAGAAATGGGATTTATAAAGTATAAATTGATAACCTTTTGTATGTAGCCGAACATTACACCAAATCAAATTCACGCTGCCTTCAATGTGACTGGGAATTTGATCTTTATTGAAAACTGCATCTCCTACCTTGGTGAACTGGTCAAGCTAGGAACTGACACATTGATAAGCTTTTTGTAAATATAAATATTTATTAAGATGTTTATGCATTATTGTTAATAATAAAACAAATCGGTTACTGTAGAATAGTTTTTATTTACACTTTGTCACTATAATAGTTATATACAAGAGACAAGTGAAATATTTTAAAAAGCAATGATAATTTCATTAATCTCCTTTTGATCCAACACTGTCTGTTGTTTGTGCACTTAGATGTGGGTGGGTATCCCCACTTGAGTGATATCTGGTAATGACTTGATTTGAACTAGGTCTAACTAAAACAGACTCTACTACTACTACTCTACTCTAGCCTGTTCATTTGGATGTCGAATATTCTCTGCGGTTCGTTATCAGTCGTCACTTCCAGAGACATTCGGTCAATAAAGGTTTTAACCTACTGACACTTTACACGACATGAACCACCCGGCAAAAAGAATATACAGTAAAACCCGTTTAAGACGATTATGCAGGGACTCAACCAAAAACCCGTCTTAGGGTACGGCCACAGTGCACGCAGGTTTAGAATCAGATTCAGACTTAGAAAACAAGCGCGAGAAATAAACAGTGTTGTTTAAGAAGGGCGGCCAAACGGGATGAAGAATCGTATTAAGCGTTAAGAAATTTGAAAACGCGTCTCGAGTTGCAGGGACTTACGCAAAATGGCGTATTATGCGAGAAATCGTATTAAGCGTGATCGTATTAAACGGGTTCTACTGTGATTTTGGAATCACTCAATCAATATGGGTTTTAAGTATTGCTCTTTAGGTATACTTTACAGTGGTGTCGATTCTGGTATTGGTTTCTAATCCATGTCATTCTCAATACAGAATTAAAAGGAGAGACCGATGTTAAATTTAGTTTTAGAGAATCATGCCAGAATCGTCACCAATGACAAAATTAGTAAACAGCTAGCTATCAGCGAACTTAAGCGCTGTCAGACTGCTCGGTAACCTCGCTTACCACACGTTGTAAAGCAAACTGTTTGCGCGGATGTCCGTGCGCAGACTGTTAGTAGGCCATTCTCGTTTTAGTACCCGTGGATAGCTGGGGTGCTTTAGTTTAGGGCGGTGCCGGAGCGAAGTCTTGTAGGTGGGCTATAACCTTTAATCTTTTTCCTCAGACAACAGGACACACTGAGAAAACACTCCAGAACCATCGCGCAGTATGCGTTTATCAAGTTCAACATCGTCTCACAATTTGCAGCTTTTTCCTTTTAAACGATTTCACTTTCGCTGACTGAAGTGAATGGTGGATACTATTCACTTCAGTTCGTTTCAATTAATATAGTCTAGATAATAATAATTAAAGTCGACTGTGTATTATGAACTACGTAAAATACATAACGGATATGACATTACCCATTTTAGCTATCGAAGCAGTTGCAGAGCACTTAACCGATGTTGGATGAAAAGGAAACGTACCAACAACAACTAACACAAACTTCTTGAGCAAACAAAACATAATAACCATCAACTTACTTCACATAATTGTATCTTAGCACAAAGGTCTCTAAATTATTATTTATTACAGTAACAATATACTTATGATTATCATAAAAATATTTACATGTGCAGTGCAGTCTTAAACGAAATAGAGAAATAAGATCTATGTATAATTCAATTAATTAACATCAGATATGTTATCATTTCAAAATACAAACAAATTGATAACAAACTCACAAAAATACCAAATAATATTAAAAATCCAGCCTTAAAGAAAATATCACATGTGTTTGTTATAAAATTAATGGTACCTACTTGTAACTTAATACATTGAGAGTAGCAACCTATGTAGGTACTTGAATATTATAATTAACGACGTTTAAAACAGCAACAAAATAATGAGTCAATTTGTTTTGATAAAATCGGTATAATATGACCAATATTTTTCATTTAATCATAAACACTCACAACAATTTTATTTTAATGGCCTATTTATCAGTGCTTGTAAAAGCACAACAATGTTGATATTTATATTTAATATAACTTGCATAAAAGCACTTGACATAATCAAACTGATGATGATTAGGTACAGAATTTATCACAAAACAATACAACTACAATAAAATACAACAATGAAGAAATAGATACACTTTTGTTAGAAAAGTAAAACTCGTAGGTATATCAAAGCATCCGCCTGGAGTGCCGGGTTCGAGTCTTCTAAGATGGATTCTGATTTTATTCAATAAAAAGTCCTAAATATAGCTAGTACAAACAAAATACTATAATAGGTAGTAGAATTGAAAACGTTTTATTCCGAGACATTGACTGGGTCATTTCTTCTAAGTAGATGAAATACGCTGTACGTTGAAATAAGAACCCTTGCCAACAACATGTGCACAATTAAAACCATAAATATGTACTTGCTTAGGTTCATAAAAAAGTCAACAATTTTCTGTAAACAATAGCGTGACAAAAATCGTCTTTAAGTCGACGTCACAATCAATAAATAAATAGTGATAATATTTTTTCATAGAGACTTGATATAAGAAAATTAATTGAAATAATAATAGGTATTTTGATAAGTACCTACACTTTCTACATTTGATAGGTGGGTTTAAATAAATTTTAGCAGTTCAAACATATATTTATTCTGAGAATTAACAGATAAACAATGACGTATCGTTGTCAAAATATTAATCAAGATGACATACTAGAATTCTCAGTTAAATGATCTAAAATCGATTAAATAATGGCAGAAGAACTATATCTACTTATTTAGGGGATGAATTTGGCGATGCACGCGACTGATTTGCATAGTTCTTACATAATCTCTTAAACTACACCAAAATTAACCGTTATATCTACGTAAGAAAACTTACATACAGCATGGCGAAAACAATAGTGGAGTTCAATAATGGACGCTATTTTCAATCTTTAAGATGCACAACTAATCGTCGTAAAGTATTACAGCTAAAACAAAACAATAATAATTATTTTACAAGTGTTCATAAGATACTTGTCTATAGTGAAAATATTTAACATTTTGTACCTAAAATATTGTTTTATCATCATTTAATCTATCATCATGGGTATAAGACACGATTTTTAACGTGCTATGGTCCCAATAGCACAAACATTTCCGTTATATTTGCATTGAGACTTAATTGGATAAGTATTTTAAAAACCTACCTATCTAACCTTGTTTTATAAAATGGATGGGTCCATTCGTTGACCAATGGCGCCTCTCCAATTACAATGGATCATCTTTAACGTGTGACACGCCTAAAGTTAACGTTGTACAGTCGGGCCATAAGTTGGTGAATACAATTTGACATCGTTAGTACTTTTATTACATATCAATCAATACAATACCTATTAGTAACGCAAATGTGCATTTATACTTTCACCTCACGGCCTCAACTTTAAATACTTCTTTAGATTATAATTCTCCTAACGATAAGTGATACGGTTTTGTGTCCGACAATCCGAATGGTATCCAAAATCTTATCTTTCACCGAAAAAGGGCGAAATTTAAAAGATGTCAACCCAGCTTTTTTGAAATCCCATCTTCCTGAAACTAAATATTTTTAACGGTTTAAGAATAACATATTTCTCGTCGTTTTAAAATTAAAGTCCCAAATTTTATAACTTCTTTCTTGTAAAACTGCATGTAAGTAAGTAGTAGGTACGATTGTTAATATGCAAACTAATGTGTCGGACAAATATCCCCCTCACAATACTCACATTCAATTAACTACTTAGATAAATATTTCTAGCACAACATTTTGTTAAATTAACACATAAAATAAAGCGCAGATTACAGAACAAAAGATTGATGGAGCGCACTGAACACGCAATGCATGGCACGATAGCAAATACGAAGTAAAAAGCGACTATCAATTCGCGTCAGTACACCACAACGCATCGTGTTGTGAATACGTCCCATGAATATTAAGTATCAAAACTGTGCCGCCTTATTCATACATCGTAAAAACTGTTGACAATGAAAAAAAAAGGATTTACTTTTGACTTCTTATTTGCTTTGGTGGCACGCATTGCGTGAACCGTGCGCTTCATCTGCCTTTTGTTCTATAATCGGACACATAAAGGCGTAAAACCGCATCTACAATCGTTCTTAGGTTATTCCCGTTATAATTCTCTCCATTCATAAAAGTTTGGTTCAGTCGACTGACTATTTGACAAAGATCGAATCCGTAGTAAGCATTATTACAACCTTTCTCATCACAAAAGATGATAGATGGACAAATGGACTGATTCGAGCATGATTCCTTAAACCTGTATCCTGTCATGCTCTATGCAGAAGCAACAAGAGAGATTCTTGTCAAGTTAAAGTACCTAGTTTTATATTTCTCTTTTAGTACCCAAAGAAAGCCCGAAAGATGGGAAAGTGATTACTCCGTAATGGCGTTATGCTAGAAATGTCTACTCATATCTTTACAATGGCAGAGTGGAGTTGTTCCTGTGATGCGACTACTTGAGCCGTTGCGTCACGTTGGCGAGCGCCACTGCGAACGCTTGCAGTGCCGAGAAAGGGTACTGGAAGTCCAAAGTGTAGGCGTTGCCGTCTATGCGACCGAACTGCATCACCTGATATAAAAATACGTGCTAAAAATTATATGGGTAATATATGTAGGAGAATTTAGTCTGCTTGGAAAAATTACAAACTATGTATTATCCCCATTTGTTCTATGCCCTTCCCTATCTAAATCAGGTCATCGGTTTAAGCATGAAGAGGTAACAGACAGACACACTTTCGAATTTATGATTAATATTACCGCGGGGCTCGATGGCGTGGGTGGTTAGCGGGTTTGGCTGCGATCGTTGAACTTAAGCAAATTTCGCGTGGTCGGTCATTGGATGGGTGACCAAATATCTTCTATCTCGAGTTCCTCCTTGCTTCGAGAGGCACGTTAAGGCGTTGGTCCCGGCTGCATCTGCAGTCGTTAGCACCCGCCAATCCGCACTGGGCCATTCATTCCATCCATAGGGAAGGCCTGTGGTCCAGCATTATTAGGCTGATGATGACAGAGATTAGTATGGATACCTAGACGAATCGAAGAAAGGATTAACGTTTTTATATACAGTTAACAACATATGAGGTTAATTTATTTATTTATCAAACATACAAAAAATATTTTAAAAACTACATAAACCCATTAAATTAACTTTATCAATATTGACAGTACCTATTAATCACAACGATTTAACTATTTACAGAACAACAAAAAAAAACGACGGGTTGCACTCCGGGAGTGCCGGCAGAAGTGAAAACTTGAATATTGACGTTGTGCATTTTTGATATTTTGGAATAGTTACGGAATAATTTTACACGAATTGTTTTAATTATCAGTATAAAAGTACTATCATTTATGTGGTAGAATACAATATTTATTTATTGCGCTATCGTACTCAAACATGACAATTTATATTACGTTAAAAAGTTTATCTCTCAGAAAAATCAACTTACATGAATCACATTTTAGCGCACCTAGCGGCATCTATTTTAAAAAAAATGCATTTTCTTCGCAATGAAGCTGCCACCTGGATGTCCTAATTAGAGACTTATTATTATAATACGAAAAAATAAAATATTAATATGTTTCGTCCAATATATTGATAGTCTACAACCTTTCCAATTTTATTGTTTTCGTCTTACGAATTTTCGATCAGGCCACGTGTCCTGACGCGAGTTTACCATTTTTTACCCATTACAAAAAAAGTACAACGCCGCTAAAGAAGTTTTCACTTCAAAAATTTGTTCGTTTAAAAGAACTGATGAACAGACCTAATAGGAATAAAGATATTTTTCTGTTGTAACATTACTACGACTAATTATCGTACTCTCGTTCATCTCGCTCTTGTAGCCAAATTACTACGTCTGGTTAGTGCCTACTTATACTCCTAAAAAAATATGTTAAATCGTGATCATTATCATCATCGATCTTAAATCTTTATTATAATAGTTTACACGAAGAAGTTCAGGATACATAGAATGTCGCAGTACGCCCTCTAGAACCGGCCGGCTGCACTCCACGCTCTCCTAGTAAAATGACTACGACTCGAGTGTAATAGTCATTCTTACGTTAGCGTCTTTGAGTATCTATTAAACACTCACCCTGCACTGTGTCCCGCCCTCGTAGCAAATTCCTATAACTATTCTACGGCTAATTTTCGCTGCTTATTTCATTTGTATAATTGCGCAACTGGTCAAAGTACTTTTTTACAGACCGGAGGTTATGGGCCCACGGAATTTGAATCTCGACTCATTTTTATTACCTATTAGTGTGCGTGACTGCGCCCCCGCAACCCCCGCGCCCGTTTTGTGTATTGCCCATATTTATAAGTATATGCCCATATTGATATGTAAGTAAGTAAATTCTTTTTTCATACATACACACCTGATTTTGCTGCTTTTGGCGTCACCTACTACATCTTCCTTCAGAATGCGATTATTTTCAGCGTAGTAAGCGAGTAATCAATAATGCGACTCGAAAGTTTCAAAGTATAGGTAAGTATAAGCTTATGTACCTGTTTCCCATGGTACTCGATTTGGAAGTTCTTAGCCGATTCCTGGGTGACGCGGCCGCCGAAGTCTAGTTGGTACACCTGGCTGTTCTCGTTCCACATGGGCGCCTTGTTGTGCATCACTAGCTGCCGCCGCCCGCTCCGCTCACCGCTCGCCGCACCCGCACCCGCCCCCGCTACCGCCCCTGGACCCGCTCGCTTCAGCTAATGCGCAACAAAGGTAGCGCATTAAAGGTACCTTACAGATAGATACCTACTACTAATAATGTTAGACCTTGTTTACCACATGAAACGCAATAAAATTTCTGATATTGGACTTCCGCGTCCATTTTATATTATTTATTTTATTTCATTTCTTCGGAAAACTTACAGCTATTATTTATACATGGTATCTAATTTAGTCCATCCATAGGGAAGGCCTGTGCCCCAGCAGTGGGGGCATTAATAGGCTCATGATGATGATCTAATTTAGTTAACATAATTAGATACCGTATTAGTTAACTAAATTAGATATGTACCATATTTTTGTTTTTCAATATCCAAAGGCAGAAGCACCGTCCACTTTCTATGTTTATGGTCAGACTTTATGGTTATTTACCATTCCCACCCTTTTTTCACTTAAAAACTATTCATCAATTTCTTTTTAAATAGGTCGGAAAGCGAAAGATATAGGTATGTAGAATTACCTTGCCAATGTTTTGGACCTAAAAATATGTAATAAAAAAAAATTGAAGCGCCTCTCTGGGGAAGTAATTTCCACCTTACAGATTACAAAAATGACACTACCTTTTTGTGGTGTTGTTTTTCTGTCGGTGAATAAGGTTCCAGGGCATCACGGGGTAGGGAATTGGATCAGGGTAGGCTACGGCGCAAGTGATATTTTGGGTACATCGCAAGCGTCTATAGGCTATGGTCGCCGCATGGAGCAAAAACAAAGTATTTGCTCCATAGGTGGCCTCTTACGTTCTGGCGAGCCATACGCTTGTTTGCCACCCTTTTAACATAAAAACCACGTAACAGCACCCCTAGCACGAACTATTATCGAATTCGAATAGTTTGCGAGTGCGAAATGTCAATGTCAAATTTTGTATGGAATCTTGAACAGCAGCGCTACAAAATACGTAACGAAAACCAAAAATCAGTACACATTTGACAATGATATTTCGGACTCGCAAACTATTCGAATTCGATTTTTTTTATGCAAAATAGGCAATGCGTTTGACCACAATCTCACCTGATGGAAAGCGATGATGAGGCCTAGGATGGTACACACCTGCCTAGAAGATGCCTGTTCACTCTGGCCTTAAAGATGTCCAGATTATATTGGTCCGGGAAAACAGACCTCGGCAAGGAGTTCCACTCCCTAGCCGTTCGTATAATGGTTCGTGCTAGGGTTACTGTACTGTAATGTAACGCCCGTAGTGTAACGGCCTCCTTGCTTGTGTAAATTCTTTGCATATGGAATGCCTACGGCTGGCAGTTATATTAAAAGGTAAATGCCATTATTTTAAACATTTGAATATGAGGATACTTTGTCTCATATCGAACATTCCAGCAGATAGAATTCAGGCACAGAAAAGAGCGGCTGATAGTAAATGATTGTAATTCTCTCAGATTAAAATAAACAAGGTTGAGCATCCCAAGTGTTCTTATTGTAACAATTGCTACGTCCTACTAGCTACGTTCCCCATGGCTATCCCATCAGGATAAGCATAACAGTACTTACCTTATTTCTAAGTTGAGCCTTTTGAAAGCTTTCCAAGTCTCTGTACGTTTTACTATTCACTTCGCTGTAGCCGCCGCCGTTCGAGAACTCGTCGTCGGAGCTTTCGGACGGTTTCTTGTTTCTTCTCCGATTCAAAAGAGGAGAATTTAACAATTGCCTGTAAAAAAATATAAATAATAAATGAGGAGCACTAACTAGCTATAGCTATATTTGACGACCTCCGTGTGGTTTGTCCGCCGGGTTTCATGGCGTCACCGACTCGAGAGGTCCCGGGTTCGAATCCCGGTGGGGGCAGATGTTTGTGTGATGAACACTAGCATTTGTCCTCCAGTCATTGATGTTTAATATGTATTTCTATATAAATATACTTATATATGTAAAGTATATGTATTCTACCGTTACCCTAGTATCCCATAACACAAGCCTTAGCCAAAGTAAGCACTTTACTTTGGGGCTAGGCTAACTGGTGTGAGTGTTGGAAATATTTATTTATTATCGTCTCAAAATGTTTATTGGGCACGTGATTACAGTGATCAGTTAATTAAAAAATACAGCCAAGTGAAAATTTTCGTAGTTTTAAAATGAGGTAGCATGGTATGGCCCGGACAGCGGTGTTTGGTTTGATTGCAACCTGATATAAGTATGTAGGCATACTTCGAATGGATGCTCTTACTGCTGCTTTATTATAAGTTGTTCTGAAAACCATCGATGGATATGCAATTTTCTCTTTAGTTACACACTATATATGTCAAAAAAGTTAGAATAGGCCAACTATGCACTAGGAAAAATATTCTTATTTTTTTTTAGTTTATATAATCGCGGCCGCCCGCGATTTGGCCCGCGTTAACTTTGGTAATTAGAAAACCCAACAAGAACCTAAAAAAAATCCGGGATAAAAAGTATCCTATGTATCAATCCAGATTTTAAAACAACACTCGCGAGCAAAAGTCTGGAATCACTTTCTTGAAATTGGTTCCGTGCGATCTTGTGTACTAAATACTTTTTTAATAATCATAAAAATTACATCATTTTAAAGGTTCAACTCTTAACTTTAAACTGCTACCAAATTCATTAAAATCAAACCATTATTTAAGAAGCTATAAGAAGCGACCGAAGAGGTCGTGTCTACAGGCGGCCAGGGGAGCGATTTGCGCAGTGCTGTTTCGCTGAAACACTGGCTTTTGGGGGCGGCTCTTGTATGATGTGGTCCGGCATTTCCTTCGAATATATCGGTGATGACTTCCTCCTTATGCACGATAACTCTTGTTGTCATTGCCCGTGTAACAACTGAATACCTCGAAGGAGTCGGTATCGCCACATTGGACTAGCCAGATAACTTGAATCCCATTGAGCACGTGTGGGTTGAACTGAAGAGAAAGGTTCGCTCCAGAACTCCTGCTCCTTCATGTCTGAATGAGCTGAAATCCCCGTTGATTGAGGAGTGGGAAGGTATTCTACAAGAATCAATTCAGAAGCTGATTAGGTCTTCAGAATGTTAAGAATCGTCTTCGAGCAGTTATTAGGGCGAGGGGAGGGAACACAAAGTACTGACACCTTATTTTAAGCTAAATAAAAAGTTTATTTATTAATTTTTATTGTTTTATTCATTTATTATTTTTCCATGTTTCCTTGTTTTCCTGCCTCCTTCACTTATTTCGGGAAAGCTACTCTTAAAGAGAATAAAAAGTTCTGTAAAAAAAGTCCACGACAGCCTATGTCCATATTTTAAGTTTGACTCATTATAAACCCTTTTCTTCAAATAAACGCAGGTGAAACCGCAGGGGACCTCTAGTTGTGACATAACTGTAATTGTTAGACATATGGTATCGAGAACTTTTTTGTATCCTCCATAAAACTTTAGCCCACCACTTTTCTCTATTGTCAATGACTTCCGCAGCGTCCGTGACATAAGGCTATTTTTTGGTATTTTTTTACACACGTTGGGTTACAATACAATATCGAAGTTTTCATACGGAACCCTAACTTTTTGAAAATACACTATATATGCCTATATTAATCAGTAATAATGTAGCATTCAAATGGTAAAAGAATTTTTAAAATCGGTCCAGTACTTTTTGAGCCAATTCGTTACAAACATACATACAAACCTTTTCTCTTTATAATATTATTATATAATATTAGTTGTGGTATATACTTACCTAATAGGCGAGGCGGAGGAGTACCGGTGCCGGCGGGGCGTCGGCGTAGCGGGCGCGGGCATGGGCGCGGCGCGGGCGCGGCCACAGCGCGGGGACGCCGGCGCAGAGCTCACCTCCCGCGCCACGCCCGAGCCCGCGCCCGCGCACTCACCGCCCGCGGTCGGACCATTCGTAGCTGTCGCGCTCGCCTCCCGCGCCGCACGCGACTTCCGCCCCGCCCGAGACGCGAGTAAACGCAGCGCTAGCTGCTCCAACGAACCTGCGACACGCCCGCTCATTTTATTCTGTATTCGTATTTTTTACATTTTATCGTGTGAGCCGTAACATGACTTTACTTTCCGGTCCTAATTTACTTTCTAAGGGCCCTTTTCCTGTCATGCGTTTTTCCATCCGTACGCGGATCTGGTCCGCATGCGTGCCGCCCACAATCTATCATTTCATACATGTTTTTACTATCATGCGGGCAGCCCGCGAGCGGTACGCGGATCGGCTGCGGGCGCGCAGCCCGCGTGCGTTCTAACCGGACGCGGGCGGCGTTCTTCTACTCTCAGTGTTGTTTTTACTGTGACGCGGAACGCACGCATGGTTATAGACGCCAACAAAAATGAAAATTGATACGGAGAGAGTGATAATTGAAGTGCACTTTCGTCCTGCATTGTGGGATAAGCAAAATGCTTTGTATAAAAATCGCGAAGCAAGAGCAGCAGCTTGGCTAGAAATTTGCCAAGAAATAATTCCAGTTTTCCCGACACCTACCCGACACCTACCCTACACCTACCCTACCCCTTCGCACTCCGCTTTGACCCCATCTCCCCTTTTTTTGAAAACAAAAAATACCTTTCGTGGGGCTCAAGGTATGTGCACATCAAATTACATCAAAATCTTTCTCAAAAATCACAAAAATCTTTCCTCTTTATAATATTAGTGTAGACTAGGTATTAATTTACCTTAAAGTAACGGCTAAACGCTCCACAGGACTTATTGCGATTCTTCGTAAACTGGATACAGCTAACTTATGTTCAATTCTTCCCAGCAACTCATCAAAAGAACGAAGCGACATTCGGAAGTAGTTCTTAAATTTACGATCGTTAAGTCGGAGATTTTGATAATTTACATTAAACATACCAGTAAATTGTCTGGTTTCAAGATATGGATCTACTCTGAATTGTTTTTTATATTTGTTTTTTTTAAAAATGATATAAGCGGTAATCACTTTCTTAACGTTCATTTTTGGACACGAGTGTACTCACTGGCGACACGCACGAGACTGCAGCGAAACGGTAAATCTTTGTCCTGCGTGTGGCCAGTAGCGTGCTATCACCCGCATGCGGACCAGATCCGCGTGCGGACGAAGAAACGCATGACAGGAAAAGGGCCCTAAGTGGGATTTCGCATGAGTAGGTATAGGTGCTACACTAATTTTGTGTCCAAACACAAGCTAGGAGAGAGGGGCTACGCGTGCTGTGCACAGAAAGAGTCCTCTACCTTTTTTACTGTTCTACGCTACGGGGATCTCTATCGTTATGAACATACCTCATCGTGATCTAAGCGGGAAAGAAGAGAGCGACCGAAGATGGCGAAAGTCGATATGGAAGCAAAAGGAAGCTTCATGCTCAAACGTGCGGCGCGAAAGTCACTCCCTAGTGCGTTCGAAGCGAGGTACTGCCGGCGCGGTCCGTGAAGTTCCACCGGTGAGGCTCCCAGCGACCGAGTCGGGAAGGCGCCGCCGAAGCGTGCGGAGGGAAGAGCGAAGCATCTACTTATCGTACTAACTATAATACTTGCTGTAGTCGGAGTCGGAGTCCGTGGTGACGGGGCGCGGTGCGGGAGCCGGCGCTGGTGTCCGGCTGCAGGTGCCGCACACGGCCCGCGCTGGCGCCGCGCCCGCTCGGTCCGGTACCAGCGCGCCAGTCCGGCAGACGCCGCACTTGTCGGGCGCGCGCTCCTCGCCGCTGGTGGCGGGCTCGTCGTCGCCGGTGCTGTCAGCGCACGGCGGGCGCGGAGATCGAGGCGGCGGCGGAGGCGGGTCGGGGTCGCGAGGTCGCTTGTCGGCGGTGATGGCGAGCTCGCTGGAGTCGAGGCTCCGCGACTTGCCGCAGCGTTGCAGGGGCGGCGCAGGGCGCGTGTCTGCCGGACGAGGGGCGCGCCGCGGCCGCCGTCGCTTGTCGCTCACTAGCACCAACCGGCGTGGCGGCTCGCGTAGCGCGGCCAAGCTTACACGCGCGTGCGCCTCCACCAGGTCCAAGTAGCCGACGCTGCAGCTACGTGTCATACAGTCGTACAGGGGCCCGGGCGCGCACACCGGGCTGATCGCCACCGCGGTGGCGGTGCGGTGTACGCGGCCCCGATCTCCGGGACACGTGGCCGCCCCGTCGCCGGGCGTCTCCTCGTCTATGTACTTTAAATCTTCCCCCTTTTGTAGCCCTCGCAGACCGTCACCGCGCCGCGCCATCGCGTCCGGGTGTACTTCGTGTTCGTAATTCTTGTTACATAAGGATTTCAGAATCCTCGTGTTGACGTCGTAGGCGGCCGCTTCGCCACGACTGCAGATGTTCTTCCGAAGCTTCGAAAGGCAGTTGTCGGTGACGTGACTGTCGCACTTCTTGATCGTGACTTGTCTGCTAGGCTCGAGGCCGAGATTGAGGCTGAACGACTGCTGGTCGACGCCGGGTAGGTTGGCTTTGAGAGCTACGTTGTCACCACGCACGGTATAGTCGGCCCGGCCCCCGCAAAAGTCGCCGCGGCCTCCACAGGCCACGGTTTGCGGCGAGGGCCGTTCGAAGATGATGTCGGTGGGCGCGACGGCGTTCTTGGGTGACTGCAGCGTGGGCACGGATCCCTCGCAGCGCAGTGGAGAGATGGCGTGGCGACTGGGCACCCCCGCGGCGTTGTTGACGCGCCGCTCTGTGGGCTGCGCGTGCCGCAAAGGAGGCGTCGAGTTATACACGCTTTCCGGCACGTTGTTCATGGAGTCGTTCGCTATCGTGTCGATGTAAGGAAACTCCTCGTACGACTCGGCGCGGGCTAGCGAGGCACCGTTGGTGTTGTTATTATTGGAGTTGTAGGAGTCTGTCTGGTTGATGTTGTTAGAATTATTGATTCTTTCACTGAGTGTCAGTTTCCTGCGTATGTTGTTATTGTTGTGTGAAGGCGAATTGTTCGTATCATTCGATTGAAAGACTTCCTCTTCGTCCTCGGAGAATATGTTGGGGTTAAATGTGGGGTCGGGGCCGACCGGGTAGTCGTCGCGAAGTTCCGTGATCATGAGTGTCATCTGCCTCGGTTGGAGATGCAGCAGAGAGGTTTTGTAAGTCACCTGCCCTAAATTAGCTGGCACGTTCTTGGCAAGACCGTGCATTTTGAATTTTGTTCCCCAAATATTTGATGTTACTTCTACTAACCGAACGTCCTAGAAAATAGATGCTATTAGAATACCAAACGTTAACACACGTGTACGAATACCAGTAATGTAATCAAAGAAAACAAGAATTCTTTATTATTGGATGAAAAACCAATTTTCTGATACTTTTTATACTATGAAAAATATAGAAATCAGTACCCCAAAGCACGAACAACCTTCTCGCAAGTTGTTCTTGCTTGGGGATTTAGGTACAGAATTCAAAAGGTGTATTGAAGAAGTACTAAGGTAAGAATTTAAGTTACCTCAGGTAAAGAATCGATATAAGCAAGTTCGTCGGGCGTGTCGTCTTTGTCGCTGCTACTCCTCACTTTCCGGCGTTCGCGGGCTCGCCGGCGCCGCTGCAGCCGCGGCGACCCAGAGCAACCTATAATCAGACAGAACAGTTTATAATCGTTCTTTTGGTGTAAAACTTCTGTATACACGGGGGATATTAGGATTTTTACTGTTACGAAAAAGCGTAACGGCCGCGTGGAGGGGGTAGACGATATATCTCGGGGTGAAGTTTCACTTCTAATGTGCCAGTCCCAGCACATTTTTTTTCTGCGCTGATGCAGGAGCAAAAGTTAAACCTTCAAATCGGAACGAATTCGGGGTGAAGTAAACAAAATTATTTAAAAGCCGTCGGTTAGATTATTAAAAAATAACAGACATTTATTTTTTTGCTTTGTCAATCAACCAAAAAATTGCAAAGATAAAGCGCGTTGAACTATGCCTATGTTGAACGTCACGCCTAAGTAAAGTGCTTAACTTACCTTCCTCGGGCTCGGTGTCTGAGGAAGAGGACAGCGGGAGCGGGGGCCGCGGCGCTCGGGCGCGGGGGGACGCACTCCCCGCGCTGCTGGCGCTGCCGCTGCCACTGCTGCTGCTGTTACTGCTGCTGTTGCTGCTCGCGCGAACTGTGGCAGTCACAGTGGTGGCGCCCTCTACGACAAACAATTTGGCGTGAATTGACATAAGTTAATTAAGGTTATCATCAGCCTATTAATTTACCCACGGATGGGGCACAGACCTTTCCTATGGATGGAATAAGGAGATTGGGCCATGACCCACCACGCGGGCCCAGTATGGATTGGTGGGTGCTAATGACTGCAGATGCAGCCCTGATCAACGGCTTAACTTGCCTCCCGAAGCACGGAGGACCTCCAGATAGTAAATTATTGGTCATTCATCCAATGACTGACTACTGCGAAAGTTGCTTAACTTTAACGATCGCAGCCGAAAGTGCTAAGCTCTTGTGCAATCCAGCTCCTCATTAGGGTATAGTTTTATTTAATTAGAAATCGTGATTGAAATTATTTGTCGATTTGAGTGAGAATGTTGTTACTGACATTAAAAACAGCAGTTCCTTCGGGATAATGGACATGCAACCATGTGTGTGTATAGCGAAATATCAGTCTGAAAAAACACAACAATGCGAGTCATATTGAACTGACGTACGTCTATCTTATCCTCTTTAAATCGATGGAAAAGAGGTTTGCTCGTTCGACCAGCAATCGTGGAAGTTTGGCAAGGTTATAATCTGGATGATCAGAATGATTCATGACCACACGACCAGGGCGTAAGAATCGTGAAGTCGTCGCCCATTCCATCCATTCGAAAGGCCTCTGCCTCAGGAACTTCTGTCTTATGTTGTCACATGATGTTCTGTTAACCCTTCAAATTACATGGAAATTATGTTAATACTTGCTTTAAGCTGATTATGTGGTGTATTGGTGCTGTTCATCCGTTCACCGTCAGAAGGAAGTGCAAAAAGTTAGAATAATAGTTAAAAGAAGGGAGATGAAGTACTGATAGAGATTGAGTCGAAACGTATGAACTGTCCTTTGACTATCGGTACCTACAGATTTTTTACTGGGTCATATGGGTTCATCAGAGCTGTGCCTAAGGTGTACTAGAAATAACCAAATAATATATGATGAGATGGTACAGGAAAGTGATGGCATGACGGAGGAGATTGAGGAAGGAGGGGCGACCTTCAAGGAACCCCTCGAACTCTCCTCAAACACCGCGGAACGATTCACTAACTCGTAACGTAACATAATGTCACACTTTACACGTAAAAAATGGTGTGGTTTTATAAAACTACAATTAAATAAAACTTTTAAACTCATTAATAATAAAAAAAAGTCCGTCCTCATCCGGGAAAAGAACCGCGTAGTAGGCGCGCTTTCTACCATTGAACCACCGAAGCTTGTTCATAAGGTCTGATTTTTTCAGTAACAATTAAAAATGTAATGTGATATGCTGAAGAGGGGCGAAAAAAATTGTAGCAATGTAATAAAAGTTTCACTACAACAAGGTCTTTTTAAGCTCAACTTGTAGTAACGTCGTACGTGAATATAGGTCGAAATATCAATAAGTTATAAAATTTAAACTAAATATTTTTCAATTTTTACCATAACCTACGTCAAAGGCGAAATCTTAATACTATAACTTATTAAAAAATATATATATATTTGTAAGGGATTGAAATACATCCCAGCTTGGCAATCGCGCGCGCGAAACTAAACGCGATAGCGCGTTGATTACACAATATGAGGTGGGCTTAGCTTATAAAAAATACCATTGAACAGCCGGTCCGCGTCAGAAGCCGTGTCCGTATTTACTATACGTAGCGAGTGATGATATGGTGATAATTCTACATTAAGTCCCGCTGGGGTGAGTTAAAATACTGTCTAGGATTAATTATAATTGTAAGATGTACTCTTTTCTAAAAAAAGTTTAACGTAAACATTCGTAACGACATTCTGTCCTACTCCTATTTAAAATTTGGAACCATTGGTCGTTGGGTTCCGACCGTCTTGACAGTCCAGGAGCAAATTACTAAGGTGCTGCCCTTTGTTTTCTAGGTGCTAAGCCTACCGTACCGCAAACGAAGACCGACTCCTGTTCCCAGAGACTGCCGAAGGATTTTCAGCCGGTAAACAGCTGCACTACTTTGAACTAACAGACATTCGTCGGCTGTACCTAGCGACGTGCCTCGCTGCCGCTTGAACCTACGAAGGAGCTGGAACTTCGACCTATCTGGAGACGAATGCTCTTAGGCCAGTCACCACCCTTTACTGCCCACCCTTACTGAGACGCGACGGCCACAGAATTGTAATTGGGCAATATAAGGATTATTTTCTACTGAGACGATTTTTTACTTCCGGACCCACTACCTGCGTACCATACCGGCTGCAACCTTTAGCTTGCAGGTCGAAGATGGCGAACTCGGAGCGAATTTGCCAGGTGCTCCAGGTATAGCGTTTAGGCACCGGTCTCCTCGTCGTCGTGCCGCAGCATGGTGCAGTGCAAAAAACAAAGTGAAGCAAACAAGGTCCATAAATTAAGCCCACCTTCAGCTTGCGGGTCGAAGATGACAAACTCGGGGCGTATTTTGCTGGTACGTCGGCCCTTCAGTAGAGGAACTAGCCCGCCCAGGTGTTCCAGGTATAGCGTGTAGGCGCCAGTCTCCTCGTCGTCGTGCCGCAACATGGTGCAGTGCAAGCGACCGCCGGCAGACGGCGGACGGGACACGAAACGACGTAGCTCGTTCGTCTCGGGCACATTGCACTGAAGGTAAGAAGAAATTATAAGTTTATGTGGATTTTCCGTGCGTGTGACAAAGAAAATGCAGCAGGAGGTGCAGAGCTGAGGATTTGCGCGACCCAGCGCTAACTCGTAGTTTAGTTACGAATTGTAATCGTCATCGTCGTCCTTCCTATTCTAACTTACTGATCGACATAACTTTTAATGCCGCCATGCCGATGCCTCAGGTCCGGATTCAGAGGTGTGGGGAAACGGAGAGGTGGAGACCCCTAACGTAAGTGATTTCCATTCCTGCCCTGCCTTAAATAAAGAATATAATGTATAAATAGATTAGAAAGAAGAAGAGGCTCTACAGGGACGGCAGCTGCAACAGCGGCGCCACACACAAAAACAGTACTGACCCGTATCGTGTGCGCGAAGAGGTTGTGCAGCGCGGGCTGCAGGCGAGGCGGCAGCGGCAGGCGCGCGGCGAGGCGCGGGTGCCGCAGTGCCTGGGCGGCCCGCACGCGCGCCAGCAGCTGCAGCGGGGCCACCACGCGCCACACGCGCGCCGTGCACACCACTCCGCCCACGCCCACGAACAAGCGCCGCGCCGCGTGGCCCCACGTCAGACCGCTCACCAGAGCCTACAGTCCGATTCTAATTTAAACTTTTAGGCGGATGTGAAGTTAGTAGCGAACTAAATAAACGAGCGAGCCTTACAGTAGTCGCGTATGATGTGTATGTAACATTTGAAACCTCACCTTATATTAGTTAAAAAAAGAAATAAATTCTACTAAAACATTAATAAGCCATTCGAACATTATGTTCTTTAATCAAATCAAATAGCGCGCTCTTTCGCGACTTCCTGTTACACACTTCCGCCCCATTTCACGAAATCACTCCCACAAATTGCAGGAAAGCGAGAGGAAAGACGTTACACATGAAAAATCTCACTTTTCATATATACATGCAGCGATCTAGTGACGATAGTGGTGTGACCACACGCATGCCGATCATACAATTTTTACATAATGTTATCAGTTGTAATTTCTAAATGGCCTATACATTGTAAATAAAATGATCTGTTTCAAACGCTTTAAGACTAAAATTAAACGAAATTCGTTAATTTTACAAGCTCAACAGCTAATTAATGGTAGTTCGTAAGGCGTTATCAATATAAATTGATGAAAAGAACGATCACATTCTACGGCCGGCACGAATACATATACGAATATAATATTGCAAATAATGCTTTCTTTTGGAATACCTATTAATTTCGATATCTGTAAGTTTATATTCTTTTTTTAAACATATTAATTTTACACCAACAGTTGTTAGCGACTTCGTCCGCGTTAGCTTTATTTTTTTGAGAATACCACTGAAAGCTAAATTTTTTCGGGATAAAAAGTATTATTTGTCTCAATCCAGTTCATAAACTATATGTATACAAAATTTCCCCCAAATCCGTTCAGTAGTTTCAGCGTGAAAGAATAACAAACTAACCGTTAATAATATTATAGTAGGAGGTAGGTACTGAAGACACTTGACCATTGTTTATTATAACGTTGGCCAATATTATTAATAATAACAAGATATATAATATAATTAACATATATGGGCGATCTTGCGATTAGGATTATTCAGTTGATTCCCTTGGCGCAATTAATTTTTACACTTTTTTTTGCAAGTAATAAAAGTTTTACTTTATTATTAGCATATTTATAGAAAAGGCATCTCTTCTGGCCGACTGGTTCCGAAGATAAATTAAGTTACATTTTTTGTAATCAAGAAAAGACAGCAAATATTAAAATATACTAAAAGCTACATAAAATATCTTAATAATAATAATAAAAGTTTTAGTAATTTTGCTGTCCAACACTTTTTGTATAATAGTTTATTTTATATTATTGAGCCCGATCTGCTATAAAAACGTGTTATTATGTATATTTATAATAAATAATACGATTTAACACAAAACAAATTAGGAAAATGTTATGATTTTTATTTTTAAAGCATTTAACTGCTAGATGTTTAAATCTAAAGAAAAGTTTTAATAGAAAAAAATCCACGCGGACCAGGCAGCAGACGGGACTCGAACCCGCACCCGCTGCCTTGCAGCTTAACGATAGGAAAATTTCGACGGTAGCATATTTGGTCAGTGCATTTGCCCGGATTGCGAAGGGTGCGGGTTCGAGTCCCGGCTGCTGCCTGGTCCGCGTGGATTTTTTTCAATATTTCGTAATATATTTAAATAATTTACGTAAAATTGCAAAGCCCTTGCAGGGTGTCACTGGTTTTTCTTGGTGGTTTTTGTACTATCTGTGACATGCAATAAAGAATAAATATAACGGGTACTTTTCTCTCAAGACAGTGAAAATTGAGGTTCTCAAGATTCACCCATATCACTAAGCATTTTAATACTTACTTGAGTATAAGGTATTGGAACGGTGTAAATAAGAACTCCGGTGTCCGAGTAGAACTTCACGACGTTTTTATATGGCGGTGAGTCTGCCGACTCGTCCGCTTCTGAAACCAGCACATAAAGTTAGATTCAAAAAGTTACCACCGAATATAACTTACTCCTGGGAATAACTCTTTAAAACTTATTCGCGTGAGAATATTAAAGTAACCTAGCTACGTAGCTAGGTTAGTTACAGGAACGTATTCCTTCCTGCATATTTTTTTTAAAGAAACAAGTTTTATTTTTCTGGAAATGTGACTCAGGACGCCCTGATATTGTATTTAAAATAAAATAATTAAATATGTAAATAAGCGATAAGAACGCCTTTACTCATCATATTTGACTATCTGTTTTTTGTAAACCCTTTAATTGTGTGTGTGAGTAATAAAGTGTTTATCTATCTATCTATAAGCATTTTATCAACGACTAAAGTTTGAATGAGTGCAAATATCTATATATAAATTAAAAAAAAACCAACACTTACACCAATTACCTTAGCCCCAAAGTAAGCACTGTAAGGCTTGTGTTATGGGATATTAGGGTAACGGATACAAAACATATACTGTACATATATAAGGATATTTATATAGAAGTATAAATAAAACATCAATGACTGGAGTACAAATGCTCGTATTCATTACACAAATATCTGCCCCCACCGGGATTCGAACCAGGGACCCCTCGAGTTGGCGACACCATGAAACCCGGCGTATAAACTCGGCCACGGAGGTCGTAAAAAGTAAAAAAGAAGTTCAAAATGTAGTCGCACTTGGGGGACCATTCTATGCACAAGAACCTAGGTTTTCAGTACTGGGTTCATAGTTGTATGAAATACATTTTTGATCTAGGAAACTCGCGAAGGCACATGTAGTCCAGGCAACGAATGCTCAAAAACAGGTATAGAGGGAAATGCTTGGAACACAATTTTTGACTTCGTGACTTTGTTAGGACTAGTTAGGAGGTAAACATATCAAAAGTCCCCGCCCGTAGCCCTTAAGCCGGGGGGAGGGAGGGGGCTTGAAGGTCCCATTTTTAGGTTTTTCGCATATATCTCGAAAACTATGCATCCTAGCGACATGAGACTTTCACAAAAGTGAAAGCTGATTAAATTTGCTACAAGTCTTATTCAGTCAAATTTTTTGATATCTTGTATAGTTTTCGAGATAACCGCTCTTGAAAGTCTGTAATTATGGAAAAAAAAATTGTTCCCATTTTTGCTCTATTTGACCGGATAACTCTTCAACAATGCACCCAAAAAATAAATGCCGGCCGTAGGGTTGTAGAGCATTAAATTATCTTCAATAATAAAAACAATTGCCCTTTTTTTTTATTTAAGGACAAAATTGTTAGGGTTGTAGACGTATGGGGGCGATACGGTGGGCACTAGTCCGCGTACTCAGCCCCCACGCGCGGGCCGTCCTGCGCACGTCTGTGGGGTCCTCGCGATACCCCGGGAGACCCCTGCCGCGGAACCTCGGCAAGGCCGGGAGGATGCTAGGTGCGGAGACGCGGAAGAATCCCTAAACGGGGATTCTGCGGCTTCGCACTAAGCAGCTTAGAGGGTGTTCGCAGGGTTTTTTAGCGGATATTATGCCGTAAAGCGCCCGTAAGGGTTACGGGGTCCTCAGTGGGCAGCCACTGCTGGGGCTCGTAAGGCTTGCGGGAGCCAGGTGTGAGGTCCGTTCGGCGGTGTGCCTCTTAAAGGCGCCGTCGTCTGTAAATAGTATTTTTTGCCTGCGTATAAAAAAAAGGGGGTAGTAGACGTATTGACTAAAGGGGGTGCCTGCGTCGCCCGGTAAGAAAACTGGCAGTGTTGGCCGTTACCTAAATAAGTAGGTGTCTACACCGCCGGGGGTTCACGACCAACACTACCTATTATATAATTTTTCGATTTTCTGTCGATGCACGAAAGACTGTGAAAGCGCGAAGTGAGGCTGCATAAAAGCAAGTCTCAAACGTTCCCCAGCGTGCCAAAATTTCCAGGGGAACTGCTTGAATGGGGTCCCTCAAGTTGACTCCGAAGGTGAAGAAGAACAGGAGGATCCTCTGACCGTTTCCCTACAGGGTTCCGATGGAGAAGATGACACAGAAAAAGAAAATGTAAACGAAGACGAGGATCAAGGTCCTTCCCACCCCAAAAGAGCAAGAAATTGACTATATTGAATTTTTTTACAAATCTCTTTTTGCACGTCATAGTGAATTGTATCTAAAACTGCTGCCGTATTCGTACCTGTATAGCCAATGAGAACCGGAAAAAAACCAGAGGCACAGGGCCCTACCGTCTCAATTTTTTTTAATGTCCTGTTTTATAATTTTAATTATTCTTAATACTACTTTTTGTGTTGAGCTGGACCAATACAACACCAGACAATCTTATCATTTAAATAATCATCTAATTTATAATAACCTTTTTTGCATAAAGTAGTTAACTCTTACAGTTTTTTAAACTTATTTTCTGGATTAAGTGTGAAGAACCTGGTCAGTGGGCCAACAAGTACATATTCTAAAATGAGCATGTGTGCTATTTAGACATCGGTGCATCGTTGAAGAGTTCGAGGGTTATCCGGTCAAATAGAGCATAAATGTAAAGCAATTTTTTTTTTCTATAATTACAGATTTTCAAGAGCGGATATCATTATTACAGATATTATTATTAGATAATTACAGTTTCTCAATGACACTAATTTACTTTCTTTTTTACTTATGAACCTCACACCTGGCTCCCGCAAGCCTTACGAGCCCCAGCAGTGGCTGCCCACTGAGGACCCCGTAACCCTTACGGGCGCTTTACGGCATAATATCCGCTAAAAACCCTGCGAATACCCTCTAAGCTGCTTACTGCGAAGCCGCAGAATCCCCGTTTAGGGATTCTTCCGCGTCTCCGCACCTAGCATCCTCCCGGCCTTGCCGAGGTTCCGCGGCAGGGGTCTCCCGGGGTATCGCGAGGACCCCACAGACGTGCGCAGGACGGCCCGCGCGTGGGGGCTGAGTACGCGGCCTAGTGCCCACCGTACCGCCCCCATACGTCTACAACCCTAACAATTTTGTCCTTAAATAAAAAAAGGGCAATTGTTTCTATTATTGAAGATAATTTAATGCTCTACAACCCTACGGCCGGCATTTATTTTATGGGTGCATTGTTGAAGAGTTATCCGGTCAAATAGAGCAAAAATGGGAACAATTTTTTTTTCCATAATTACAGACTTTCAAGAGCGGTTATCTCGAAAACTATACAAGATATCAAAAAATTTGACTGAATAAGACTTGTAGCAAATTTAATCAGCTTTCACTTTTGTGAAAGTCTTATGTCGCTAGGATGCATAGTTTTCGGAAATATGCGAAAAACCTAAAAATGGGACCTTCAAGCCCCCCTCCCCCTGGCTTAAGGGCTACGGCCGGGGACTTTTGATATGTTTACCTCCTAACTAGTCCTAACAAAGTCACGAAGTCAAAAATTGTGTTCTAAGCATTTCCCTCTATACCTTTTCGTTGCCTGGACTAATGGTATTATTCGTGACGATTTAGGAATTTTAGCGACACCCTTTACCGATTTAAGAAACGCACTTAAAACGTATGACAAGAATCCTCTAATCATAACACAAATAATTGAATGCAAGAATATACTCACGCTATTGATAATGCCAATGCCATGCTAAGGTATATAAAAATACCAATCAGGCAACCAATAGTTGGTTCTTATATAGACCTACCAAAGCCAGGAAGGAACTCGGCTTGTTCCCTAATTCGATTAATGGAGATACTATATACCTGTTATTGCTTTAATTTCGCAACTCAACAGATTTACCAACCTACTATAGGTATTTTCATCTTTAACTTAAAGGAATCGGTCAAAAGTAATCCAATTAACTTATAAACTCTATTGTAAGGTTTAAATCGCAGACAATGTAAGAGGAACTATACTGTTTAAATATTCGTTATCCAATTCTACCTAGTCGAAAACCGAAACTTTACGATTTGTACCTTAACAATCGTACACGTTGCCCATAAAAAATAGCCGTACTATATAGGCAAAGCGACCATTTGCCTCAGACACGCGGAGACAAGGGTTATAAAACTTTCATAGTAGCCATAAACATCCAAGCGCATTGAAAGGCGTACGCTCTACCCTACCTCAAATCGTTTATCAAGCAGTCAATCAGCATAGTTGTTTTCAACCAGAGCGACCATTTTTCAAATTTATTTAAGTGGAAGTATTCGTGTCTTCCTATAAAAGGGCTTTGTTGGCACGCCTATTCAGAGTAAGCTTTTCAATAACGCAATAAATAGTGTGAGCTGAATATATCCATAATGGGCGAGAACGGAGCGTTAAATTTATTTCGCCGAAATAGTTTCTTTATATGGAAAATCTGGATATGCTCATATTCGAAAAGTTATAAGTGCGTGGATGATGGGCTAGCAACCCTTCACTTCTATTTCGGGACAATATCTTAGAGCCAAATAATAGCCTAAAAATAGGTATTCTTAGCCCGCGCACGTGTCCTATATAATCTAGAGTCCCTTAAAAGAGGCGTGAAGAAGCATTTGTGCAGGCCGGAAAAGTGAGGATGGTTGGTGTGGCAGTTTATAACTGCTGCACCAGCTATCTTCGCGTTTGGGCCTTATCACCACCACTTACACTAGGTGGGGTAGTCATTTGCCTACCTAAATATAAAAAAAGTAAACAATACAATAACGTGGCTATGCGAGTGTTATTTGAACTTTCAAACTGTGTGTAATGTTCTGTAACCTCGTGGATAATAATCATATGCTGTAAAGTCTGGCAAGTGATTTCATACCACTCCCAGTTAGTGTTACCCCAATACAAAGTGTTTAATGTTTGCTACAAATCAACGAGGTAGGCAAGAGGAGGGTAGCTGGGTAAAGCACGACAAATGGTCTTCTATCACACTACAAATCAAGCTACAGTGCGACAATTCTCTTTATGAATGAGACAGTTCAGGGTGGGCGCTGCTGTCTACGTGAATTACCTTAAATGACATACAAAATATAACGTTTACAAAAATGGCGGCGTTAGTTCAAATTTTCGGGATTTAATAAAGATCCTTGTCGTACGATAAATAACTGGTTCTTAGGTGTTCCTTAAAAAAACACAACAGGTAATCTCACCGGGCAGTAATGTGCCTGCGACGGCGAGCAGCTCGCGCGAGTTGGCCCACTCCATGACGAGCGTGGCGCCGCGCAGTCCCGTGTGCACGCGCGCGGGGCTTACGTCGTCATGGCCCCGCAGTAGCACCAATTCCCCGCTGCCCAGCGCGACGGCCAGCACGTGCCCTCCATTGTTCTCTCCGGTCTCCTCGCCTTCTTCCATCTTGAACTTCTCGCACGACCACGCCATCGATGTGATGCCGCCTTCAGCAACTAGCTGTACCTGATTTGCAAAAAAATACGTTTGTATTTATTACTTATACATGCTTAATCACAAATCTTTGTATGTCTGGCGGGGTTTCTACAGCGTAGCTGTACCTGATTTCCAAAAAAAAATGGTCGTTATCCCGTATTCGGGTACACGAAAGACATGTCTCGAACTCGGGCACCCGAAGCAATATTTACACTGGAATACGTGCTGGAAGACCGTATCAGGTAACAAACGAAAACTACCCGAATACGGGCAAACTCGATTCCGTTCACTTACACTTAGTCGTTTAATTCCACTGGCAATCGTATTTGGGCTAACGATCGAACGAACCTAGTCACATGCTAAATCACAAATCCCTGAATGTCTTACGGGTTTTGTAAGCACCAAAGGTCAAATGTAATGAAAAAGATATTAAATGTCATAATATTATCGGCGAAACATGATATGAGCTAATAAATATCGTACCACATACGATATTATTTAGCTTTAAAATTGTTGTCCAGAAGCAATAGCTACAGGTTACCAACCCACCAACCACCACTACCACCCACTCTATAAAGTATCCAAACCTGCTCTGTCTAGCTATTGGTAGACATTCTATTATAAATCTGATTGGGAAAATTTGCTGTTAGGGCATTATATTGCTTTTCTTTTGATTCTGTTAATCATATTGTATCTAATAGATCCTTATTACATAAACTGAAACTCTGCATTCAGTTTCAGTTAGTTACAAGCCGTGCGATAAAACTGATATAAAATCAAGCACGTTGCCAAGTCACAAAAAGTCACTTAGTTAATATGAGCACGACGAACTTCCTGCCGAGAGCTATTTTGCATGAAATCAAAATCAATGAGAAAGTAATTAAAAATCCATCAATCTTATCTTTCGTGAATCATAACAAGTTTTTAAATTGAATAAAAAATCTGTTAAATGTAGTATGGTCTATGTTTTTTGGAGCTTCCAAAATGAAATGAGGATTTTTGTGTTATATTAGCGCCCAGAGAGTTGAATTGTAAAGTTACTCGTCAGTACCTTTGTAAAGACAGAGAAGTCTTCGTCTTTACAAAGGAACAGTTGATAATAAATTATTCCATCTGGTTCTGTAAATCTTGCGTGGATAAAGAACAGGGAAACTTGTCTGTGGATTGAGTGACCGCAGTATTCGCCGGCGTTATTAGAAAATTTAAAATTGGTGTTTTAATTTTGAATCACACCGAGGATTCCGAAGTGAACAGTGAGTATGTTTTTACAGAATAGCACTGCTGGTGATAATCAGGCGTACAAAAGAAGTAAAACGTATAAAAATCTATAAAAAAACAAATGTATCGTTTTAAGTGAGATAATCTAACCTGCGAGACCATGGCTCCGTGCACATCCATGACGACCAGCTGTGCGGAGGCGGTGCCGAGGTACACCTGGTTGTCGTCGGGCGTCCAGCAGCCGCAGGTGATGCGCGCGTCCAGCGATAGCATGGACGACCAGTACCGCTGGCCTGCCACGGAGCCCACAAGAACAAACCCGTCCTAAGGAAAAACATGTGTTTTCTGAAATTTTCTTGTTAGTAAAATCAAAGAGAACATCGTCATCGTCAAATTGTGTATGGAAAAAGCTAGTTTAAAACTAAGCAGCTTAGCCCTAACGGGCGTAAGAACATGCGCCAGATAGGGCTAAGCTGCTCAGTTTTCATAGAAAGTTTGACAATGCAATACGATACGGAGCTATCAAAATTTGTGCTTGGGCCCCCGTTCTAGTCTGCTTTTGTTTAAATTTATTATCTATGCTATATCTATTATGTAGGTAATTTTGAATCAGTTACATAGTGATTATAATAGTATAATATTCCAAATATTCCAAGCTAGTTAATGTTGAGATGTGATTTTTCCCGATTTCGCAGCATCGCATCATCTGATTGCCGCAGTACCCACCTGTACGGTTCGTATAGGTTTGATGCCATCAAGTGTTCAAAAAAAGTTCTTAGTACTAACATCGCAAATGACAAAAATAAAGTTTGAGTCATGTTGTCTTTTTGAAATAAATATTATTATTTTTTTCATTAAATACCTAATGTAATACTTACCTATAGATTATAAACAAAAAAATTGTGAATCGCCAAATTATAAGCTTGGGCCAATTAAGTACCCAAGTATAATGTGCTTAAGTTGCAACTCCACAAGTTGCGAGTTGTGAAGTCGGTCGGGGCACTAGTATAGGAACAAAGGCCTGCAAAGTCCCGATAGTGTAATTCGAAAGCTTCCTCCTGAAGCCTGCATTGCATTTAACTACTTAGAGCCGAGTTTCCCGCCCTCTGACACCACCACGTAGGTATATTTCATGTAGTAACCCTACATCGCAGTTGCACAGCACTAGCTAAGGTCTAAAATGAGTCAAAATGAATGGTCGCAGACGTTTTGTTTTTAATCCCAATTTTACTTAATCTCTTATCTATTAGACAAGTCCGTCTGTCTGTGGTGCTGTTTCAGCGGCCAAACCGTAAGAGATAGATAAAGAGAATATTTAAGTTATAAGTTAAGAATAGTCTGATAAGACTACAAACCAGATTTGAGTAACGTAGCACTTCCGGTTTTCGAGAAATCAGGTTTTGGTGAACATTTGGTTCACTGGTTTGCTAGTATTTTTTATTTTGTGATGGGCAACTACGGAACCCTATATTGGTCGTGGCTCGACACTTGGCAGGTTTTTTAAGTGATTGAATAACAAACGATTGCAAAAAGTTGACTTTTATTATTACTTACTGTCGCCAAACACTATGTGTCTTTCATTGCACTGAACTGACCCAATTCTAAGTTAACGCGGCCAGAGTTGACCCTAAAAGCTTCGTAAAATTCAAAACATTTTCACTAATCTTACCCATTAATTATGGTTTTATGTTATTGAGTTAGGATAGTGAATTTATTTGTAATAATGCCCGTTGGATTATCAAGGGCCAATAGCGTAGCGTTGCTGGAACGGGGAATCTGCCTCCTGTGGCACTTTCAGGTGGGTGGCAAATTTTACTAATTTTATGGTCCCACTTCACAATAGCCCATGATGGACGATTATAGAAACGAACATTAAAGGGTTGCGTGCCGATGATGGTGAGCGCGTCTAAACAATCGCCCATTACTCAGTCCAACGGAAGAAGTCGAGGCTCGAGGACGTAGTGTGTAAATTAAATCCAAAGGGTGTTAAAGTTGTATGGAAGTTCCCTTGGGTAACAATAACAGGTGGGGGCACTGGAGCCAATCCGCAGTTGGCCTAATCCTTACTGGGCTCAATCCGCACTAGGCCAATTACGCACTGGGCCCAATGCGGATTGGTAAGTAGGATACTTTTTAATGGAGTAGGGGAATTGACCTGGGACTCACCACGCGATTCCAGCAGGGATTGGTACATAAATATTATAATATATTATTAATATTGTATTATATTGGTTGATTGGTATATAAATATTTTTTACTTCGTTCCAATCGAGTGTTTCATGATACTCACGCATTTTTTTTCGGTTACCACAAACAAATTTAGATTAAGTATAATTTCTGCTACATTTCCACGCGAGTTGAACTCGCACTTGTTTGATACACATTCCGATACTGATTATATGATTAAACTGAGAAAATGGATAGCAGCAGCCACTGTCACTTCGAGGTCCATCTTCAACATACGAGGGCGATATAAATGAACAGTCACAATTATGTGGAGATCAACCTAGCGGCGTAGCGTGGGTGTCGGCCGCCCAGGGCGAAGGACAATTTTGCCGCCCTCTTCTTGAAATGGTTGAAATATTTTTATTATTTATTGTAAAATTTTGCCGCCCCCACTACCCTACGCCAGTGGATGAACCCACCTATGCAGCAATGATGGCCACATTTTTACTCGGCCATCATTGGCCATTGTGATGAGGTTCCTTTAGATAATATCCCAGTTTTCAGTGAACCCCTTCACGTGAAGATGTTAAATAAAAATAATGAGCGATTTTTTTTATTCTGTTGTCGGTGGCGGCTTAAACTTCACGCTACGCCACTTAAAAGCGCTTAACTAAAACTATCAATCAAAACGGAAATCATGCCTTATAATGGCTCGCATATTGGACTATCGGGAACGCTAGCCTTCCCGACGTTTCCATTCCTTTTAGGCTCGCTGTCCATCATTGCATTTTGATAACATAATAAATCGTCCGTGTTCCAAATCGCTAATAAATTCGTCCAGCCACCGCCAGCCTAACATATTTCAGCTGTCGAGTGAAAACGTTGGCATTCCTACTTAATACCATGCAAATTACTCGGCATATTGCTGGTTTAAGCTCGCCCTCCCTGCGCTAGGTAATATTCCGCTGTCAACAACACTTCCAATGAAACGAAGCTATCAATAACTTCCCGGATTCAACCCTCTTTATCGTTACAAGGAAATCGTAGCTGGATCAACACATTTCCTGACTTTCGATTCTGTTGCGTCTAGATAGATGTTAGTTGATAAATTGAAAACTTTTCATAATAATAATAATGTTCCTTATTGCTCACAATGTTAAGATTCAAATACCTAAGTACGTAATACATATAAAAATAATACTATAGGCAACCTCATTACTAAACACCAATCTCTTGCAGGTAACCTTTGGTGTGAGGACAGAGAATTATAAATGGTGCATTTGTATACACAAGAGATTATCCGTCATAATTATTCAAATATGTACTAATCCCACTGCTGAGCATAGGTGTCCCCCAAAGATCTTAACACAAGGGATATAGCAACATAAATATATAAGGAAAAATTACAATCAAAATATGGGCATTGGATCAATAATACGTAAGAAAGTCGATAAATACCTAATTCTTCAAACGCAATTGGTGATTTTAAATGTGAATCATTGGGTACGAGTCCCATATAGGACAAAATATGATTTTGTAATTGTTTTAATGCACGAGTACAATGAGTGCTTTGATAATATCCAAAAGTAAAATCGCAACCCTAAGTTTCCGTAGTTTTCAAAAATCTTCCAAAAGTATAAATAGAATAAAAACACGGGCAGGCATCGTTTACTGTTTCTGGTTACAGGGAAACCTTTTAACAAATTGAAAAGACGACATTTCACTTGGCCACGTCACACGTCACGTGAAGGTGCGTCCGAATGCCCTGTCTGTTGTAAGACTTATTGACGATTCAATATAATAAATAAACTCGTGTATCTGTAGAGTGAGAGATGGAAAGGTCACATGTAATCGTGTAAGCAATACCCTTAACGTCAAAACCTTTTGTTGGGATTTCACAAGTCACGCGCCTTATGGATAACACATTCGTGGAATTCAGTGGAATGATCGAAGAAATACAATACCTACTATCACAATCCTTACAGATTATGAAACAATAACACCTTCCACGTACGATATGTTCAATATTATCTCAAAAACCTCTAAACGGATTTTCATGTAGTTTTCACCATCAATTAGGTAATTTTGCACGGAAGGTTTATAGATTCCCGAGAGCACGATAACTTAACTAGTGTATGATAAATATGGTATTTCACCAATACTTATAGTACTACTGCAATAAAATTTGAATAGTTCAAAGTCAAATGTGTACTGATTGTCAAAATATGTGTACTGATTTTAAGTTCTCGTTACGTACTTTGTGGCGCTGCTGTTCAAGTTTCCATACAAAATTTGACATTGACATTTCGCACTCGCAAACGTAATGAATTGGATATTGGTTCGTGCTAAGGATACTGTTCTATTGGCTTTAATATTTTAAGGAATTTCCTCAAAATAGTACGGTTTTTAGTCGTATATTTATATGAAATAGAGCGCGTGTTTTTCTTCGTTATAAATAAATATAACATAGATAACAAAGGAAACAAGAACTAATAATCAGTACACATTTGACAGTGACATTTTGGACTCGCAAACTATTCGAATTCGATATTACTTCGTGCTAGGGGTACTGTAATAAATAAATTTTGAGCAACCATTAACTAATATTTAATCTCAAACTAAGCAGAGCTTTTAAATAACGTATACATAAAAATATATATATACATGTTAACAGCAGCAATATAACTCAAGAATCTATAATTAGGAACGAATAAACTTATTACCTTTTGCAGAAAATTAATTCGGGACAATTTTGCTGTCGATTAATTATTATTTGTAACAAATTATAACTGTTTCCTGCGACATTGTAACAAACAACTCAGCCTTCATGGCTTTTCAAAATAAGTGTTACAGAAAATACTTAGGCACAATGAAAGCAAGTAATTAAATTAGAACAATGCGTTTTCGTACCCAACTCCTGATGTTGACAATGGACAAATCGGAATTTCTATTTCCATTTACTGCGACATGATAGCGAGTCTGATAAAATCTTTTCCAATTCATTGTTTCTGATATTACAATGATATACTTACTTATTCCTTTTGTTTCCACGCACACCAATCATTTATTAAAATACTATTGAAACGTGTTAATAGCGCGCTTAAAAATACTCGTGGTAATGCATTCGGAATATAATTCCGGATGACTCATGACAATATCAGTAATTGTACACAAACTAAGCAAATCTTTAATGTACTTTGGCAATTTAATTCTGTTTAGAATAAATATAAGTACATAAGCAAACATGAATATAATACAGAACAAACCTCTATCGAAGTTGTAATATGGAAGCGCTGCAGTTGCAGCAACGGGTCGTCATTGCATCAAAAATTGTTAATGATTAAATTTTAAGTTTATTACTGGAATCTCATGTTGAAAATATACTCCCGGACACATATACCGGCCCACCTAGCATTTTAAGGTTTGACCTGCATGAATTTCACGTCCCTAGCTAAAAATAATGTAAGTGCGAGTTCACACACAATACAGTATTCCTGATTCAGTAAAAATACAGATCTGACAATATATGTAGTAGTCCGTTTTACTGGTCCGCTTATTGGCGTATGTAGTTGTATATAATAATAATTATGTGCATCGTTTTTATTTTGAAATTCAACAATAAATAGAACAACAATATGTTCAACGATTTATCATTTATTACAAAAACAGTACAAATGCAGTTTCAATATTTTCTAATTATAGTATTTTATCCTTTCTAGTTAACTGTAGCTTATGAAATAAGAACTAACTCCACTTTGTGTAGTTTCTAACTTCTCAAGTCACATTATTTTGTAATGCTAAATACATAGGTAATGAGGTAAAATTTCGAACAATTATTATCTATAACAATGAACCTAAAACTAAAAACCTTAAAAAATAAAATATAATAACTAAAATACATTATTAAAAGGAGTCCCTTTAGGCAAGGTTCCGAAGATACTGGCAGCGTTGTTTGGATAGCTAGACTAATTCTTTGTCCGAGGTAGCTGCCAGCTCTTCGGTCTCCTGTGATGTAGACTAATCTTTTTGCTATTTCTTTAAAAAGCCTTATAGCGCTAGGACCCCACGGACCAAGGGTCTCGAAACCGAATGATATGAATGTTTCAATATTACATTACGGACAAATATTTAAATCAGTTTTAAGGTATGAACAATCATGGTCAACTACTTAGAAACAACAACAAAAAAGTATAAAAAACATTTTTTTAAGTATAAGTAATTATTATTATATTGTTATTTACGAAAAATAACTAAGAAAAAGTTTCATAAAGTTTTTACGCATTTTGAAGCTGATTTATTAACCGAAATTTAACCTAATATTTTTCAAAATATATTATTATTACACAACCTAACTTAATTATATTTTTGCTACAGACCGTTGAAACTTATAACACTAAGGGGGCCGATAGAAGTGTCCGCAAGTGTATTTTTTTTAAATCTTTTTCTATCTTTATTTTAAATGACTTTTGTTATACAATTATACAAGTCAGTCTCATCGTGACTGGAGGATATAGAGTTCAAAAAATTATATTTTTTTTACTAAACTTTTTGCTGAGAATCAAAACTGGCTTCTTTGGAAGTAAGCTCTAAAAGCAAGCTATTGAATATCCTCAAATATTGTTATTTTAGCTTTGATATAATGAGTGTGCAGATATTGTATTACTAATATTACCATTTCACACAAAACTTTTTTGTGAGTTCGTGCATAGCCATAAACTGCTAGTAGTAATTTGGAACAACACAATAAATACAGCTTTAGCAAACGAGAAAACAAAAGTTTTTTTAAAAAACAAATTCAATAAAAAAGTTGTGTTTATGTAAAAGTTAAAATTATTTTATCGTAGCTCAAAATTGTATCCGTAGCAAATACTGCAAACCGTAGCAATGCGTTACGATAAAACAGAAAAACCGTTACGAAATTAGAGCTACGAATGCAACGACTACGATTACGATTTATTTAATAACATTATGCAAATAACTTTCCCGATATACTCAGTTAAGTTTTTAATACTTAACAGTGAACCCGATTTTAATAAATTTTACTTTGAAAATAAAAGGGAACCTGGAAAAAGATCTATGATTATATTATTTGCAAAAGTCTTTAATATATTAAAATATGGGTGACAAACTAAGTAGCGAATCATTGCTAGTTTATAATAAAATCAATTATTTATATAGTACCAACATTCTATTAATTTTAAGTGCGTGCGTTCGATCGTGAATTCGTGACTGTAACGATTTTGTGACTGAGGGAAAAAGGACACGCCGCATGCTATTTTTGTCGTTTTAGAAAGTATTTTTGCTTAAAGGAACCAATGTTATTTTATTGAAACAAGGAATTTTGTTTACTTCTATTGGGAATATGAATAATTGGGTGAGCTCTATAAACATATGTGCAGCATCATAACTTATCATTGAACACAAAATTCTTTACAATTTAAGATTAATAGCCTGCTTGTATATCTTCGTAAGCTCGTACTAATCAAAATTAATGTGACTATTTACAATTGACAGTGCAGCCTTCTGTTAAAAAACATATTCAATACCTAATAATATGCATATGCTATAAATTTTGGACGCCAAAAACGCTTAACCGAACTTTGGGAAAGGAATACTTTTTGTCACGAAATCACACAGGTGTGTACCTGGTAGCGGATGAGCGCCATCCTGCCGTCGTGCGACCAGGAGAAGTGTGTGGCGGGCGTGCTGCGGTCGTAGATGCGCTCGATGCTCCAGCGGCCCTCGTACTTGATCCACACGCAGATCACGCGGGTGTGTACCTGGTAGCAGATGAGCGCCATCCTGCCGTCTTGCGACCAGGAGAAGTGCGTGACGGGCATACTGCGGTCGTAGATGAGCTCGATGCTCCAGCGGCCCTCGTACTTGGTCCACATGCATATCACGCGGGGGTGTACATGGTACCAGATGAGCGCCATCCTGCCGTCTTGCGACCAGGAGCTCTATTTTTGAATTCTCGCCCTGCGTCGAAAGCTCGATTTCTACTAATTTTCATTCACGACATGATTAATTCCGTATTTTGGATCTCTCGACGTCAACGAGCGGTGTCGACCACTCGTTGCGCGTTGGCGAATGATGGAGGCGAATGGTAGAATAATTGTCAAATTTAGGTCAGATATTTTCAAGATTATTTCTCAATCTTTTTAAAATTCAGATAAAATGACGATTTGTTGCAACGTTTGATCTTTTCTTACAAAAATGGCAAGAGATTAAATAAGCAGTTATTGAAAATTATATGTTTATTTTTCACAACGGTAATGACTGCTTTTTATCTTTTTCCGTGAAATTAATAAAAAAAAATATTAAACTGGTAAAACTGTCGATGAACGATTCAAAAATACGGAAAATTAGTATCATGCGACTTGGAAATCGAAGGTGACTGAAGTCGCATTCGACGATACCGTGTCAGGCGAGCGAATAAAAAATATAGCTCCAGGAGAAGTGCGTGGACTGCGTGCTGCGGTCGTAGATGAGCTCGATGCCTCAGCGGCCCTCGTACTTGATCCACACGCAGATCACGCGGGTGTGTACCTGGTAGCAGATGAGCGCCATCCTGCCGTCGTGCAACCAGGAGAAGTGCGTGACCGGCGTACATCGGTCGTTGATAAACTCGATGCTCCAGCGGCCCTCGTACTTGATCCACACGCAGATCACGCGGATGTATACCTGGTAGCAGATGAGCGCCATCCTGCCGTCATGTGACCAGGAGAAATGCGTGACCGGCGTGCTTCGGTCGTTGATAAGCTCGATGCTCCAGCGGCCCTCGTACTTGATCCAAACGAAGATCACGCCCGAGCTGTCGCACGATGCCAGCTTCTGGTACGGCTCGTTCCATTTCACCAGGATTACCTGCGACAATTCAGATAACCAATATTATTATAATATAATTTATATTATTATAATATAATGAAGTATCTATTTTCTTTTATTGTGTTGGCCTAAAATATTAATCTTTAATCTAAATATATAAAAGAAAAAACTGACTGACTGACATATCAAAGCCCAGCCCAAACCGCTACTACTAGGGACTCCAAATTTGGCAGTAGGTTTCTTAAGAGGTCTAGGGGTGCACTAAGAAAGGATTTTTTAAAATTTACCACCACCGGGGTTAAAAAAGGGGACGAAAGTTTGTATGATAAATCTTATTCCTTGAGTTAATAGACTTGAAATTTGGCACAAATGATTATCTAAGTAGTAGTAGTTCCATATTGTTCTTTTGAGATAAACGTTGAATTCTATCACTCTGTTAAATCAATAAAATACGTTTGCCAATACATAAATAAAGGATCCGACCAGGCCTCTTTACTTAACGCTCTGCAAATTCAGTAAAACTTGAAGTTATGTCGTCGAACATTCGCAGATTTTTTTGATTTAGAATTTAATTGGTGGTCTATAAAAAAAATAAAATACTTATCTAGACAACATTTTATAATATTGTGTTCTATTTATGCAATACTAGTGCATGCCCGCGACTTCGTCTGCGTTGAAAAATTGGTTTCCCATTATATTTCCAACTTTCTTATAACCCCTTTGAAGAGTGATTTCTAGGATATAAACGATCTTACGTCCTTACTCGGGACTTAAACTATCTCTATACCAATCTCAACAATTCAGCGGTATATACGCGTAGAGTTCAGACAGACACACTATAGCATTTATAATAGGTATCAGTATATAAATACAAACAGAAAATGAAAACTGAATCAAAACATTCTTAGAATTGTATTTTCAATACATTTCACTCTATAAACACTGAGAGATTATTACGGTTTGAGACAAAACGTAAAAAATTATTGAATTTATTAAAGTAAGTGGACGGGACATATTACATTGGGAATCTTCTTCGTTAATCAGGATGTCAGCTAACTCCATACAAAATATTATTAAATAAATGTTAAAATCGCTCCAGCCGTTTGGACGTGAAGAAGTAACAAACATACACACTCTATGGGTGTGTCCCATAAACTTTCGCCTTTATAATATTAGTGTGATTTAGTGAACGGTGCGACAATTAGAGGTCTCTGTACAGTACACCACGTACAAGTTTCAAATGCTGGTGCTGGATCCCCCTTACATTCATGACATTGGTATTATGACTGGAATTCTCGATTACTTTACTGTCATTACTCGTTATTTTCCAAAAAAAAAGCTGGCTGCAAAAATAAAGCAATAATGCTAAAAAATCATGTTTCTGTAGTCTGGCCAGCGAAAGCTGGCTTAATCAATAATACATTTGGTTTGACATTCTCACTCAGTGGCGGATTAAGCCCGTCAGAGGCCCGGGGCGGCAAAGCTGAATGAGGCCCCCCAGCTTTAAAAAAATGTAGATTCTTATGTTTGTTTCGTCAAAACCAGTCTTGTCCAATTCACCATAACTTTGTATTAGATTGTCAAATGCTACAGCCAGAGCGTCATCTGAAGCTTCTAGCATAAACTTTGTTTCAATAATTTAGAAAATATTTAAGATTTGTTTAATAGCCCAATTCGAAAGTTCTTGTATAAAGCGGTCTATGCATTCATACATTTATCGACGTATTTCTTCTTGAATTGATAATCCAGCATCATGAGCTGATTCACCCGGCATCGTTCTTTTTACCTTCACTTTTCCTGGTTTCTTGATGTTGATGAACCACCTAAATACTAATTCAAGGCGTTTAGTTTGGTGATTCCTGTATCCAGAGTCATTTTTGGAGGCCGCAAATATTGTTAGACTTAAATAGAATGTAGTGAATGTAAATGTATGCGTACAAGAGTAAATTATTTGCACTTCATTCATTCAGGGATTCCTGAGGACGTACACGCTACAAAGACGGGAATTCCCCAAGCGTATTGAACGCGTTCAGCAAAGTTAAAAAAATATTAGTACCGCGTTAAAAGTGTAGATTACTGTAGTGTTTTGATCTTGATGAAATTATGTAAGTACTAAGCACATTTTTAAAGTCTTGTTTAGGATTTGATCATGGGAACGCGGAGGCATTTCGGGGCCCCCCAAGATCGGAGGCCCGGGGCGGGCCGCCCCTTCCGCCCCCCTGTTAGTCCGCCACTGTTCTCACTAATCACTATTTTTAACCTGGCTTAAAAAAGAGGATTTATTTTCGATCTTTATGTATGTACCAATGTAAAACGAGTCGAAATCGAATCGGTTTCCATGATTTTCTTAAAAAACAATTAATCAATCATATTTGTGCACTGTTTTTTTTGTCAACAATCTCTTTAATTGACCAAATAACAATAGACGAAATGCATTTGAATTGAAGATGTTTCAAAATAATCTTTATTTACATACCTACGTTTAAGAGTGAAAAGATTGTCATTAAAGAGACAGATTAACAAAATCGAAATTTAATTAAATCAGACCCCCTCCGGGGACCTTCCATGATTATGGTGCTTAAAACACTATAGAACCAAGGGTAAAGGATCACTTTTAAAGGGTCGTACATCTGAAAGCCTCTTAAAAATACGTATAGCGATGGAAACAAAAGTTCAACTAATTGTTTGTTACCTAACTCACTAAGCGAATTTAGTGGGACGACGGTCATACTCTAGCCTTGGATGCTTAACTAAATCAATTGGTTAATTGACACATGATGAAGAGTAATCAACAAAGGCTTGATTGTGTGTGCACTTAAAATTAAAGTGGGTACAGTTTGTCCCTTTCTATCGTGCCCGATTGTAAGGAGACTTACTTATATCGATAAAACAGTTGACTTTTAACTTTGTAGACCGAACGCGGTAAAATAACACTCTACGAAAGCACTTTAACCCTTCTCTAGAAGTGGGAGCGATAGAAAAACAAAGCATGCGGCAGCTGGTAATTTCTTCGCTCATGTGGTAATGTCTAACAATTTTTTTGAAGATTAAAAATAGTTTTGAGTAAGCTAATCATAAAAAAATACCATTCCATACATATAAGGAATTTTATTCAGGTGGTTATTTTATATAGATAGTTTTGTTAACTAAAATTTCATATCAAATCTTAAACCCGGTATGGTCAACTTTATCCGTTCAAGGATAAATTCTATAATGAAAACCACAAAAGGCAAGTGAAATATTTTCTAATAAATCAAGGGGCGCTTAATCCTATAAACATACTCTTTTAAGATAATAAAAACGTACCTATATTTTTATGGAGATAATCTTTGGAATCGATTTCGAATATTTAAAGGTCAGGGCGCTAGGTAGGGGAGAAGGAGGCACCTTAGCACAGGGGCAGATTTGAACATGTTGATTTCTCAACGTAACTTCATGTAGATCTATGCCGCAACTACATTTTCATATTAGCAGCACTGGCTGTGACAAAAGTCAAGAAAAAAAGCGCGCGCATTTCGTTTTCAAAAAGATTTATAACTTGTCGTCGTATTTGTACCGGTGAAGTGAAAAATAAAAAAAATGTAAGGGGTTTACTTTCACGTGAGTAAAGGTTTCCAACTAATTCTTTAACAAAATTGTGCATTACTTATTAGTTTTCAATCCACCGTGTAGTTTTTGCTTGCTAGGTATTTCACATTATTTCTTTTGTAATCTTCCAAGTGACAATGGGGCAGATTTGATCAAAACAAACGGGGCAGATTTGAACGGGACGTTCAAATGCAAACTTCATGTTTTTTTACAAGTTTGATATTAAGTTTATTTTATCTTTAATTTTGCGCCTGAGGCAGTATTATATAATAATAATAACAATAAACTAAAACTCTTGTGCAATATGATTACTTTTGTTAATAAGGAGGAAGTCAGACAATAAAAAAATACTATTTTTTTTTTGTTACTGTAATGCAAGATGTAACTTTAGAAGTTTCGTATAAGTTTATTTTATATTTTAATAACAATAATTATCATTATAATAAAGACAAATTATTACTCTATCCTCTCTTTTTTCTGGTTTTTAACCCATTGTTCAAAACTGCCCCATGTCGATTCAAATATTCCCCCATGGGGAGGCAGATATGAGCAAATTTTTGTTTTAAAAAAACACATTGTTTATATTTAACGGTTTCAGCAAATTCAAACATTTCATCATTTTTATATTAACAAAGGAGTAAGTAGCTAAGAAATCTATGTTTTTTCAATGTCTCTTTACATTTGTTTTTCTGTGAGTCCAAAATCTGCCTCCTTCTCCCCTACTGAATATTTTATTTATTTTAAATATTGCAAGTTTCAGACCAAAAGCATTTCGTCAATCTTTATCCAACGGTAAATCGGTGATTATTATTTTGTTTCATACTTAAAATTATATAAGTTAAAATAAGAAAAAGTTATATGAACAACTAAAGATAATTATATTTTTATTTTTTAGCATAGTTTAACTGCTAGATGTTTATATATAAAGAAAACTGTATTAGAAAAAAATCCACGCGGGTCCGTGGATTTCAACTTTCTTAAACATGCTTGGATATTTGAGCATTATTTTGATAACCTTCTTAAAGATATATCGAAATTGCTGTACTGCCCACATGCGAGCAGCGGCAGGCAAAAGAAAATCCATATCTGTCATGTCATCATGTCTGTCTGTCATAGCGGTCAAATAAATTACATAGTAAATTCATATCTGTCGTGTATTTAAAAATCGAGCGATATTTTACTCCGAAAAATGGCAATAAAAGGCAACATGGCAACCAAGAGTGTATCTTATCTTTTGTATATAAATTTCGAACTGACTTGCAAATAGAAAGCTGTTTATTGAAATAAAACAAATGAATGAGTGGTGTTTTTCGTTGTTCGTCATTGATTTTGAAAGGTAATTGTATTTTAAAATAATAAGTTCTGTCTAGGTACTTTCGATAATTAATTTTAATTAATGCGCATTATTTGAGGAAAGTACTATACAAGCCTTGACCACAACTAGGCATTGA